CTCAGGTCCAGGTTCCCAGCCCCACCCGTCACAGGGCTGAGATGGCGGCCCCTCTGGCAACCTTAGGAGCCCCCTCCTCCCCCTCTCCCCCCCCACCCCCGGCCCCTCCATGGCATTCTCTCATTTTGTTTTCTATCTCCTTGCTCATGCCTGTGATTTCCATGGATCTTAGCACCTTAGACCATTTCCTGAAAAATCTGCATTTTGGGGAACTGTGCACATCTTTTCCTTCTGAGAAAGGCGACGTTGGTGGGGGGACCATCGAGCTTGCCACAAAGCGGCAACACCCCCAGGCCCAGGCCCCGGCCCCAGCTCTTCCTCTCCCGGCTAGAAAGTGCCCTCGTGCCCGGGGAAGGGAGCTTTCAGAGGCACGTTCCCCGAGCCCAGCCCACACACTTCCTGCATTTCCAAACACGTCCCATCAGGAAGTCCTAACCTCATAAAGCAAAAATAACCGCGTCTCTCCCCAGACAGCCCTCGCTCCCGGCCACAGAGCGCATCTGAGACTCCCACACCCCTGGGTCCTGGGTTACCACTGAGCTGCCCTGACTGAACCCCACCTCATTCCCAGGACCAGAGTGGTGCTTTTCTTGGCTGAGAGGCCTTTATTGGGGGGTGGGTTTTAAGGACTGACCTGAAGACATTCTGGGAAATAAGACCAAATGCAACTGGTCAGTGTGCGGTGAGGTGGGGCCCCCTCATTCCCCACAAACCTGAGACCCAGAGCAGCCAAGGAGGTGGTCAGGACCCTAGATGCCCCGGGGGTTTTCAGGGTCTTAGGGGTGGGAAAGGGAGGAGGATGCTGAACGAGCCCTGGCCTTGGTCCTTGCTGGTGGGCCGTCAGGAGTAATGGACACCACCCATCAACCCACATTCTGACCTTTTTGTCATGTTTATTTTTCTTTCTTTTTATATATACACTAGAGGCCTGGTGCACGAAATTTGTGCTCACGTGCAGTCCCTAGGTCTGGCTGGCGATCAAAGCACGAATGTCTGGCGTGGAAGGGCACGTCCCAGCTGACCTCTGGGCCCTGGGCAGCACCTGGGCTCCCAGACCCCTGTCCGCCTGAGTCATTGGGCCCCCACCTGACTCCCTCAGCGTCTGGGAGCCATGCGGCATCCCTACCCCCTGCCGCCGTAACTGGTCACCCTGCTCACACCCGCCTTGGCCTGGCGCCACCCATTCACCTGCTCCACCATCCCGCCGCAGTCCTACGCTCGTCGGGGCACATTGGGGCAGGAGCACCTCCACTGCCGCCCGCTGCCAGCGCCGTGTTGCCGATGCCTGTCGTGTTCCACGCCGCCCCTTGGTGGTCAGCACACATCATAGTGAGCGGTCAAACTTCCGGTCGAGGGGACAATTTGCATATTAGGCTTTTATTTTATAGGATATTTTTATTGATTTCAGACAGGGAGAGGAAGAGAGCGGTAGAAACATCCCACATTGAGGATCGAGCCCGCAACCCGGGCATGTGCCCTGACTGGAAATCAAACCATGACCTCCTGGCTCCACCACTGAGCCACGCCAGTCAGGCTTTGCCACGTCTTCATTTTAGTGGCTGACAAGAAGCCAAGGCATCATCCCGTGAGGGGTAACAGGTGAACATGTCAGAACTTGTTCACCCTTCCTGGCAGCCCACAGTTTGTGTGCCCCACACTGCCGTCACCCCTTCACGGTCAGGAGCAGGCTCTGTGAGTTTCGGTCACTCTGCGCGAAGGGCCCAGGAGGGAGAGACCGCACCTGCTAACTCTTCCTGGCTCCTGGCTCGGCCCACTCAGCTACATGAATATCTCGTGCCGCTTCCTCCACTCTGCAAATTTCGAGACTCAGCAGCCAACATGCAGATCCTGGGCCCAGCAATCTGGAACTCCCACAGCACCTATGTGAGGCTTATCACCAATGCCTCTAATTTCAACTAACAGATCCATGATTTACAAGTCTCTGCACATTGGTAAATCTTCTTGACTAATCTGCTGCGGGCAGGCTCAGGACAGACACAATCTCGAGGCAGCTGGTTCAACCTTGTTCTTGGTTGAACAGCTGCTTGGGGCACAAACCCAGAGGCGATAGGCCTGCCAGAGCTGCAGTCCAGGGGCAAACCCCCTTTCTTCCAAGGTCTGCTGATGCCGTGTTGCCGTCTATTAGTTCTTATGCATCCGCAACTTTAGTTCACGAAGCACAGCAGTCATGTCGACAGGCACAGAGTCAGACACTACCTTTAGTGTGTCAGTGAAGCGGGGGGTGGTGCAAGCTTTAACAACAGCCCGATGTTCCCTGACAGCTCACACGGCAATATCTCCAAGCGAGTGTCCCTTCCAAGTTTCCTGATGGGATGAACCCCATGAGAGCCCTGGCAGGACCTCCCCGGGCAGTGGGTGTGGCTGGGAGGTGCAGAGCTCCCCAGCGCTGTGGAGGGCAGTGCCCGGGACTGTAGGAGACTGGCTGCCCATAGCTGCCCGAGCACCCCGATAATAGGTCTGTCACAAGGGAGCAGCCAGCTGTCTGTGAGTATGACATGCGCAATGTCTCTCTCCTTTTATTGTTTTGTTTTGTTTCCCCTCTTGTTTTTTTTAAAGGCTAGTCGATAGTCACTGAGTTGATTTAAGAAGCCGGTGGGCGGTGGTGAAAAGGCCAGACATGTCCTCCAAAGACATGTTCTAACATACTCTTGCCGTTGAGTGTTAGCTTTTATTTATTTATTTTAAAATATATTTTATTGATTTTTTTACAGAGAGGAAGGGAGAGGGATAGAGAGTTAGAAACATCAATGAGAGAGAAACATCGATCAGCTTCCTTCTGCACACCCCCAACTGGGGATGTGCCCGCAACCAAGGTACATGCCCTTGACCAGAATCAATCCTGGGACCCTTCAGTCCGCAGACCGACGCTCTATCCACTGAGCCAAACCAGTTAGGGCATGTTAGCTTTTAAAAATATTAAACTTATTCCTATTTGCTTAGGGTCCCATCCATTTTAACAGAATATTAAAATGTTGAAACAAGCACAGAAGTGATGCCAATCTCTTACAGAAAGAGCTGAAGGGCTCTCTGCTCAGAAAGGACCATGATGGGGACCCCCTCAACAGAGCACCCTGGTTCTTACCCCTTCTCCTGGCCCCAGCTTCCTGGAGCAGAACCCCTCCCTGCATAGGCCCAGACTCAGGCTCTGCAGAAGATTAGCCGAGATTTACCAATATGAGGAGACCTGTAAGTCGTAGATCTGTGAGTTGAAATTAGAGGCACTGGTGATAAGCCTCATGTAGGTGCTCAGGGAGTTCCAGGTTTCTGGGCCCGGGATCTACATGTTAAGGAAGCAGCACCCAAGCCAAGAAAAACATCCTACGTGATACTCAGATACTGCCACCCATCCACACCAGATGTTTTCTCAGCTGTTAATTAAATGCTTCCTGTGATGGGAACCTCATTACTTCCTTCAGCTGGTAGGAAGTCCTGCTTTGGCTTCTTAAATCAACTCGTTGAATATCGACTAGCCTTTAAAAAAAACAAGAGGGAAAACAAAACAAAACAAAAAAAGGAGAGAGACATTGCGCATGTCATACTCACAGACAGCTGGCTGCTCCCTTGTGACAGACCTATTATCGGGGTGCTCGGGCAGCTATGGGCAGCCAGTCTCCTACAGTCCCGGGCACTGCCCTCCACAGCGCTGGGGAGCTCTGCACCTCCCAGCAGCACCCACTGCCCAGGGAGGTCCTGCCAGGGCTCTCATGGGGTTCATCCCATCAGGAAACTTGGAAGGGACACTCGCTTGGAGATATTGCCGTGTGAGCTGTCAGGGAACATCGGGCTGTTGTTAAAACTTGACCCCCGCTCCCCCCCCCCCCCCCCCCCCCCCCCCCGCTTCACTGACACACTGAAGGTAGTGTCTGACTCTGGGCCTGGTGTCCCCAGCCACATCTTTGCCATCTACACCAGCATCGTAAGAGGCTGTTGATCAGTTTTTAAATTTGGAGGCCTTGGCTGGTGGTCTTTTGAATACAGCCAGTCTTCACTAAACAGTCTGCATTTAAAAAATAAAATAAATAAAAATAAAGAACTATGTCACTTGGTGAACCAACAGTGAGCAGTGGGACTTTTGCATCGCTTTCCCTGCAGGTGTCCTTGACTTAATGTTTATCTTTTTATTCTACCACATCCTCCCTGTGCCCCCCTCCAGGGCCTGGTCTCTGTTGACAATCTTCCTACCGTGAAGGGAATGACCTCAGGCCCCATCCAGCCACACACTGCATTTCTGAAGTGCCTCTTGGCACTCTGCTTACAAAAAGCCGATTCTAACCAAATTTTTATTAAGGAGAACACAGTGAAAAGAGAGTTTCTGGCAGCTGATAGATGTACAGAAAGCCAGGCAGGAGCAGCCAAGCCCAAGTCCGATGCACATCTCTTCCTCCCAGTGATTACTGGGGCCCCAGCTCTGAATCAGAGCCCATACTCTGGTAGCCACAAATTCCCAGGGAGCGTGTGTTCCACCTTAGATAAGACTGCATTTTTACTCACGTGACCTAGGAGTTTCAACTTGTACGACAGGCTTTGCTCATAGTGATGCAATTTAAGGAAAAATTACACTTCAAGGGATGCCTACAACAGAAGGTTGGCCTTGTTGTAGTGGTTAGTTTATAAAAGGATTTGCACTTAATCTTAGTTCGGAGCATTAAAGGGTTTGTCCTTGCAGCGATGGCTGTAAACTTGCTCATTAATTTGGAGGAGTTGGGACCAACCCCGAGTGTGTGCTGGCACTACTGCCCTGTCACAGCGGGTCCCGTTTGTCTCCCTCCCGCGTGTGCTGGCACCGGACCACCTGGCTCATGCCCAGAGCGCTGTCCACTGCGGGGCCAACTCCCCAGGCAACGAGGCCTCCAGGACGGGGGGAGAGGGGTGGAGGCACTGCGGGGCGCAGGGCGGGGCGGGAGGGAAGGTGCTTTAACCGCAGGGCGCCTTCCTCGGCTTCCACCTCCTTACGCCCCGCCGGTAGGTGTCCCCACTCAGGTAAGACAGTGCAGAGGACCCGTCACCTGCCTCCTTCACACGTACAAGGTTTGGATTTTAGGTCGTAACCATCCGCAAAGCGTGCGCCTTCCTCACCACCCACGTGCTTCGGTGACCCCTGACTCCTCCGAGGGCTTGGGCGTTGTAAACCCGCGCAGATGAGGACGGGTTTCCGGGGGTCAAGGAGAGGATGAGAGTGGAGCTCGGGACACAAGGGTCCCCACTGCCAAAAGCCCGACGATGTGGTCCTCCGGCCGCTCTAGGCCACGCCTCTCCACTGCGTCCGCTCCGCCCCGCCGGATTGGCTCTCTCTGTGCCAATCGGAGGCGGCTTTACCTCGGACCCGCCTCCCGCGCACGCGCTGTAGGCCGATGTGGGCGGGGCGTCCGGAGGAGGAGGCCATGCGGGCTCAAGTGGTAGGTGGCCGCGCCGCCCCCGCTCCCGTCCCCTTTCGTCCCCCTCCCTCCGCCTCTGTGTCCGGGTACGGTCCCCACCTCTTCTGGGCTTGCCTCGGGTGGTCTCCGCCCCAAAGTCCCCCGCTCCGGCGGAGCGCGGACGGACCGAGCCCAGGCCCCTGTGACAGATATTCCCGTCATGCTTTGTCTGGTAGACCTTGAATAGACAGGTTCTTTTTTCTGTTTCTTGAAAAAAAAACAATTCCCCAAAGTGAAGTAAGTGCACGGAACTACTCTGTGATTGACACGCGCTGGGTCAGAGCCTCCGGGAACACAGAATTGTGTGTTCATGCTTGTCTCTCTCGGAGCCTCGCGGAACCGTTTCCGCACGGAGGATTTTTCCTGTGACACACTCATCCTCGTGCGGCGTGTGCAGGTGTCGGCGCGTCGGCACGTGCGTCCCTGGGTGGTCCGCGTTGCTGACTGTGTGACTGTGCACGGATCACCGGAAGTCGGTTCCGTACACTTGAGAAATTCTTGTTTCATCTGTGCTCCCGGAGACCAGGGCACGACCATCTGCTGAACTGAGTAGAGCAGCGGGGAGGGCGGGAGTCCCCTCCCCGTCCCAGCACCCGCCCCCGCCCGAAGGAAGCATGTGGAGCTTTAAAGCGTTTCTTTGTTGCTTCTCCAACGTCCTGGTTTACCGAACAGGAGCATCCCACCCAGAAAAGGACCACTCGGTTATTTTCATAACTGGGTTGAAAGATGCGCAGATGCCTGTTTCAACCACAGTGATGGTGTTTCTGGCCAAGTGATTGGAAACATGAATTTGCCCTTGAATTGGGAACATTTTTGAAGCCTTTCAGATTTTTGTTTCCTTTTCAACAGAATCCCCAAAACCAATTCAGGGACATGTAACATGAAATACATCTCCTGGAACCAGAGATTGGAGAACTTGGAGAGAAGGCGTAGACTGTGTCCGCACATTCTTTCCCTCGAAACCTGGTTTTGGGTTATTTTGTCACGCGTGGTCCTGCGGGAAATGAGTGTGTTCAGTGTTCACACTATTTGATAACCCATTTCTCTGGATTCCAGTCTGTGATCCTCCCCGTCCACAATGCGGAGCCCTGGTTGGACGAGTGCTTGAGGTCTGTTTTGCAGCAGGACTTCGAAGGCTCCATGGAGCTCTCTGTTTTTAATGATGCCAGTAAGGTACTTAAGAACTTCCCGTTGACAATTCCCCCCCCCCCGCAAGTCACGTTGGACTGCTCTGATGGGAGTTTCCTGACCTGCCAATGCCTTCTTGCTTTCAGGACAAGTCTATGGCTATCATTGAAAAATGGAAAGTGAAGCTAGAAGGTTCCGGTATCCTCGTAGTCATTGGAGGGCACGATTCTCCTTCTCCCAGAGGAGGTCAGTTACCATATGCTTAGCTTATTATTCAGCTGTAACGAATGGGTTTTTTAATCAACTTATATACGTAGGTAGTTTTGTGTTTTTTAAATCCTGTTGAAAAGCATCCTGAGTAACACTTAAGTTGACCACTTACTAAGTTGGTTACAGTGTCCCCAGATATACCAGGGTTGCAGGTTCGACCCCCAGTCAGGGCACATAGAAGAATCAACCAATGAGTGCATAAAAAGTGGAGCAACAAATCAATGTCTCTCTCTCTCCCTCTCTCTTTAAAAAAAAAAAATCAATAAATAAAAACGTTTTGTCTTTCATAAAATACTTTTTATTGATTAGATATAACGAGTTATATCACGTTTGAATGTATTCTAATGACAAAAGGATTGTTGTAATTTTGTGAAAAAGAAAACGGAGTCATCCTGCTGTCTTTGAAATTAGGTAAGGCAGATCCCGTATTACACATAACAAAATGGAGTTAATTTGATTATGTCTGAAAGGACCTCTTTTCCTGTAACAGTATTTTCTTAAATAGGAAATACTGGATAACATAGATCCAAAGTCTCTACTTTCAGGATTCCTGGGTTACTTTAACTGGATTAAGGTTCATTTATTATCATTTTCTATCACAGTAGAGCAGAACATTTCTTAATAATGTGATCACTTGCTAAAATAAAAATAAACACAATCCCACCCTCTTCTCCAGGAGTAAGGAATGTTGATGCCATACTCTGGCCTGAGTTTTTTCTGCTGTGACCATGACAACCGGCTCCCCTCACAAAGGGCCGGGCCTCCCCAAACATCAGGCCCTGGCACAAACATTTGACTTTCTTCGAGGCAATAATATTAAAGCAAATTCCTCGTCTTTGCCAAACAGAAGACTCATTGTGGGAAACTTCCAGGTCCTTAGTGGGCAGCGTTTCCTTCATCACTCAAACGCTTGGGTTTGACTTTTCCTCCTAAACCCAATTCTGATGAGCGCCTTTTGAAACAGAACCATAATTTAAATGTGATTGTGGAAAGTCTCTCCTGTTTTTCAGTTTCCACGTGCTGCTCTTTGGTTTTGATTCCCATGAGGTCTTCCTCTGGGCTTGCCTCGCTTTGCAGTGATGATGGAGATTTAGCCACAGCTGTTTCGGTGTTGGCTGCTAAGCCGTCCCCAGGGGTCAGGAGCCCCTCGCTCTGCCTGCCTCTGCACTTTCTTCTCTGCCTTGTTATCCTGTAGTTTGTTGAAATCTGGGACACTTCTGCTGACTGGCTTGGGTTGGCTGAGCTCTGGGATTAAAGCTAGAAATTAAGCTGCTACCCTGTGTGAAAACAGCACTGCCCTGGGTCAGCCTTTGATGACCAGAGTGAGGGCAGGTGGCTGTTAATTGTCCCTGCTTCTCTGTTGCAGCTGGTTGACTTTGGTGCTTCAGAGCAGCTAACAGGAAGGACCTGCCCTCTCTCTCTCCACCTTGGAGAGGTGCTCTCCCATTAGCGATAAACCTGGAAGTACCTTGGGTGTGGCCGGAACCACTTTGCTAGCGTCCCCTGGGCACCTACCACCTTCTCCAGGTGGACTTGGTTTTGCGTCCCAGAGGGATTGAGTGTGTTAACTTTGCACACATCTGTTTTGCTTCGTGTCACTTTTCTTGGTGGCACCGAATCTGTAACTGTCTAGTTAACACGACTCGGTGTCAGCAACCTCCTCTCTAGGGAGAGTGGTTGTTGTGCCCCTTAAAGTCTCCTCAGCCCCTTCTTTTGGGACTAAATACCTCCTCCAATCTGCCCTGCCCTCAGCACCCAGACTGAGCTTGCCCAGCGTTAATTTCTGCACAGCATTCCCTACTCAGAAGCCGTTCTGGCTGGCCCTTTCTCCTCAGCCCAACAGCAGTTCCTGCAGAAGCGGGCGGAGCTTACCTGCCCTGGGCAGCCTGGAGCTCCCACATGGCCCTGGTGCTGGTGGCCATTCGCGGGTTAGCATCGTGCTTATTGTATCAGCCCCTAAACATGGAGCCTGCTTTTCTCCCTCCCCTTCCTCCTGCGGCTAGCCTGATCCCCTCTTGGTAGCGCAGAGTGCTCCCAGTGTTCCTGTCGTACGTGTTACACTTAGTTTTATGAACAAGAGTACCATCGAAGATCGAATCATAAAAGAGCTTTTGTTTTCTTTTTAAACAGTCGGATATTCTAAAAACCAAGCAATAGCACAGAGCTCAGGGTCTTACCTGTGCTTTTTGGATTCGGTAAGTAACTCTTTGTTTTATTGCTAAGATATATATATAGATATATATATATATATACACACACACACACACACACACACACACACATGTTGAATAATTAAATAATCTTACATTTTAGTGTGGTTCTTGACAACAACTTCTAATGTATTATAATCAGAACTTTTAAGGTAGATAGGTTTTTGCCGTTTAATTACCATAGCACTTAATGAGTTAAGTTTTGATAAATTGGATTACATAAAAAAGCAAAACTGTATAGCAGAGCACTATATAAAGAAAAATGAAGATAAACTGGGAAGATGTGGACAAATACAATACTAAAAAGATTAATAGCCTTAAGAATAAATAGTTCATGTAAGTTGAGCAAATACAAAGAAATACGGGCGATGACAAATAGGAAAGGACTGGAGTAGGGACTTCACAAAAGTGGACGTGCAAATGACAGGCTTTAAAAAAAGTTTAAGTCATTTGCATGAAACAATTAGTGAGATGCTGAAAACCAGGTTAACAAAGTTTTTTAAAGTTGTAGATACTTGGGACTTGAAAGGTGTGAGCTGGTACTGTCGATGGCATCATTTTGCATTGTGTCTCAAGAACTGCAAAATGTTTATGCCCTTGACCCGTACATTTCTCCTGTAGGCGCCTCTGAAATTCCAAGAGAGATTTACGTACAAGGAACTTCAGTGTTCGCTATTAGGATGGGAAATGAGAAACAACAATACAGGCCAGTGGAGTAATAGTGAAGGTCTGTGTGAGGGAATTACTCACCTTTTATGAAAAATGTTTAATAACATCACAAATGATTATGATTGGTGAAAAAAGAATACGTGATTGCATCCGTAGTGTACACTCAGTGAGGGGTTTTCTCTGTAGTTACTTTGAAGCGCATTTGAAGAGCACTTGCTGCTCCTTCCTCGAGTCTGGGGTACAGAGCTCCGTCTTCTGTGCATTCCCCGGGGTGGGCGGGGGGGCGGGGCTTGTTTTCCTTCTCAAACTCAGCACTGGCTCAGAGTGCCCAGTTGTGCTGAATTAGTCCACACAGGAAGCTTCTTTTTGTCTCATATTGACTCAGCCTTTCCCCTGATGACCAGGAACCTATAGACAAGGCTGTGGTACGTGTGGACGTTGGGGAAGATGGTGTGTGTGCGCGCGTGAGAAACGTAAACTTGCCCATAAAACAGCCCTGCCCTGAAAACAAGACCCCAGCAGAGGCTGCAGCTTCCTGCCCTGCTGCTCTGGTCTCTCATCTTCCTCTTCTTTCTTAGGCTGAAACTCTTCCACTTTCTCTGTTCTCTCGTGGGGATCCTCTGCCACCCCTCTCGCTTTGTCATCTCCTTTCAGATCCTGCTCTGGGCTTATTTTCACAGGGATGGACCATCCGGCGTCTTCATAAACAGTTTCCAACAAAGACAGCTTCACCTACCACATTGACAATTGTGCTTTTATGGCCTTTGGGTGATTTGGTTATTTATTTTTCTCTTTAAGCTTGCTCTTTCTGAAATACTTAAAGCGAGCATGTATTTCTCTCTAATCATCATAATAAAAGGCTAATATGAAAATGGCCATCACGTAGTGACGCCTAACGACCAATCAGCAGGGACTGAGGCTGCGTGGCACCTGGCGGGGGGGCGGGGGACCTCAGGCCGCACCCCCTGCCCCGGCACCGGGCCGGGAGACCTGAGGCTGTGCCCCCTGCCCAGCAGGGCTTGACGGGGGTGGGGCCGGCTGGGTCTGGGTCTCCTGCAATTTCGAAGCGCGAATGGGCGGGGACTTGACTCTGGGTCTTGCGGCGCACCCCAGACTCTGACAGGAGGGAGATTTTCATATACATTTTACTAATTTTCTTTCATCTCTGATACGTCTATTATAGAGAAAGGGCAAATAGCAATATTAAAATATTTCCTCTAATTAATTCCCTTTTAATGTGCACAAATTTCATGCACCAGGCCACTAGTGACAATATAAACTTCATTTGAACTGGTGATTGGTGCTGGATCGGACCATCTCGTCTTCGAGGGATCTTAAGATCTCCTCAGTATGGAGAGCCCAGCTTGAAGAACTTGGTTCCCGTCTTGGAAGAAGAAGAGAGAAATGCTCAAGTTACCCTCTCTCCAACAGGGTCTCTACTGTAACTTACTTTTTTTCAATAAAGGGAAGGAAAAAAGACCTAACTGAGGTGATATCCAGGTGGAAGTGTTAGAAAATATGGGGCCTAGATTAGAATGGTGGAACGTTCCGATCCAGGAGTCACCAAGTACCGGTAAAGCAGGCGATGGGCGTCAGCAGAGTTGCCACCAACCACAGACCGAGGAGGGCAGAGGAAGGTCCCAAACCCCTGCCTGCATCATCGGCTGGGGAGCCAGGTCCTTGAAGATGCCCGTTAGCATTTAGGGCCAGAGAGAGAGAAAGAGCAGGTTGGACGCCTGGCCTGCTCAGTCCCGGGGAAGAGTAGGGGGGGTGGTCGGAGATGGCGGGGAGCTGTCACAGGACCGTCTGCGGGGACGGGGAGGCTGCGGGGCGGGCGTCGGTCGGACAAGAGGAGGGGTGCGGCTGTCAGACACTGGAGTCTGAGTTGGAATCGCTCTCGGTTCATTTGAAGTAAGTCAATGGAGAACGTAACCAGTTTGGTTTTCTCGGATCGCTGTAAGGGCCCTGTAGCTTCTGAACATGGCATCCTAGTGTTGTTCCAATTTTCTAGTTTCCATGGTGATTTCCTTGTTTTTAACTTGAGGTCCCAGGAGCACAGACTTGAGTCAGTCATGTTCCTGGTTCAGAAAAGTCTCATCTTTCCTGCTGCCAGCTCCGTTTTGTGCCTGTTTCTGTGCATGACTGTGTTGCATGTTTATCTTGATAACATCATGAGGACCCGTGGACCTGCCGCCCAGAGTGAGCCCACTCAGTCCCCCGACCACATCAGCGCCTGCCTCCCTCTCCTGTGACCCCAGCCACATGCCGTGGCTCCCCTGCTGAGCCTCAGTCTCTCTACAAATCAAAAGACTTAATTTAAAAAAATTTTAGCTGTTTTTAACTTTATAAAAAGAGAATCAGGCTGTATATAATACTTTGGAAATTTAAAACTTCTTTTGTTAAGAGTCATCTATTTTGTTGCATGTCATAGTTTATTCAGTTTTTTAAAACTGAGGTGAAATTTATATACAGTGATACACAAGATTTTAATGGGAAAATTGTACAAAATGACAATTTGATGAGTTTTGACAACTGAATTCACTCCATAACTAAGGCCCCAGCCAAGATCCAGACTACCCATCACTCTGAGCGGGGCTGCCTGTCCTCGAACTCGGAGGCTGGAACTGTAGTGTGCACTGTTGTTTTTAGCTGTTCACTCAGCACGGTGGTCACCGTGGTAGCTGCGTGTTGGTGGCTCATTCTTGGTTGTTATTGTCCTTTGTATGAATAGACCACAACTTGTTTCTACACTCTCCTGCTGTCCGACCCGCCCACCTCCTCGCCTGCCCCACTGCTGTCGGCGTAGTTTCAGCCACTCGAGCAGACATGATGTGTCTCCTTGTGGTTTTAATTACGTTCCCCTGGTAGATTGTGATGTTGGGCACCTTTTCATGGTTTATTGGCCATTTTTTTGTGAAATGCCTATTCAGATTTTTTGCCTACTTTTTTAAATTGACTTCCCTTCCTGTTAGTGAGTTAAGAAAGTGTGTTCTTTGTTTGGGACCCTGGTCCTTTGTCAGGTGCATATATTGTATTTGTTCCCAGAATGTGGCTTCACTTTTCATAGGTTAGTGGTGTCTTTTGATGAGCTGTTTTACATTTTTTTTAATATATTTTTTATTGATTAAGATATTACATATGTGTCCTTGTTCCCACGTTACCCTCTACCCCCCCCTCCCCGCTCATGCCCTCACCTCCCCCGTTGTCCGTGTCCATTGGTTAGGCCTATATGCTTGCATATAAGTCTTTTGGTTGATCTTTCCCCCTTACCCCTACCCTCCCCTACCTTCCCTCCAAGGCCCGACAGTCCAATCAATGCCTCTCCGTCTCTGGATCAGTCCTTGTTCATCAGTTTATGTTGTTCATTATATTCCACAAATGAGTGAGATCCTGTGGTATTTATCCGCTCTCCAGTTCCATCCATGCTGTGGCAAATGGTAAGAGTTCCTTTTTCTTCTTCCTCTTCTTAAAGAATACCTTTCAGCATTTCATATACTGCTGGTTTGGTGGTGATGAACTCCTTTAGCTTTTTCTTATCCGTGAAGCTCTTTATCTGACCTTCTATTCTGAATGATAGCTTTGCTGGATAAAGTAATCTTGGTTGCAGGTTCTTGCTATTCATCACTTTGAATATTTCTTGCCACTCTCTTCTGGCCTGCATGGTTTCTGTTGAGAAATCAGCTGACAGTCGTATGGGTATTCCCTTGTAGGTAACTGAGTTTCTTTCTCTTGCTGCTTTTAGGATTTTCTCTTTGTCTTTTGCTCTTGGCATTTTAATTATGATGTGTCTTGGTGTGGTCCTCTTTGGATTCCTTTTGTTTGGGGTTCTCTGCGCTTCCTGGACTTGTAAGTCCATTTCTTTCACCAGGTAGGGGAAGTTTTCTGTCATTATTTCTTCAAATAGGTTTTCAATATCTTGCCCTCTCTCTCCTTCTGGTACCCCTATAATTCTGATGTTGGTACGCTTGAAGTTGTCCCAGAGGTTCCTTACACTATCTTCAAATTTTTGGAATCTCTTTTCTTTTTTCTTTTTCGGTTGGGTATTTTTTGTTTCTTTGTATTTCAAATCTTTGACTTGATTCTTGGGATCCTCTTGTCTGCTGTTGGATCTCTGTAAATTATTCTTTATTTCAGTCAGTGTATGCTTAATTCTAGTTGGTCCTTTTTCATGTCCTCCATGGTCTCACTATACTTATTGAGGGATTCATTAAATTTATCGGCGGTTTCCATAAAATTCTTGAAAAACCTTATAAACGTGGCCTTGAACTCTATATCCAGTCGTTTGCTTTCCTCCATTTCTGCCATTTGTGACCTGTTTCTTTGTCTCCGCATTTTGGCTGCTTCCCTGTGTTGATAGAGTGGTTTTGTGTGCTAGGTGTCCTATAGGGCCCAGTGGCTCAGCCTCCCCCGTTACCTGAGGTGGACACTCTTGGTGCACTCTTGGTGCCTTGGTTGTTGTAGGATCACTGGGAGGAATTGACCTCCAGGCCAATTGGCTGTGAGAATCAGCTGTGTCTGAAGTGGGAGAACTTCTGTGCTGAAGACACCCTTCTGGGCAAGACTTGCTTCAGTGGGGCTTTGGTGCTCACTGAGTCTGCTCCCTGAGTGTGTCCCTTATGGATCTGAGTAGTTGCAATCTGGATGGTCCCCCTCTGACCACTGGGTACAGTGGCTCCCGGATCTAAGGAGGTGCTAATTCAGCCTCTGCCTGAGGCCACACAGCAGGAGCCACGAAGAGGCTCAGCTGTGAAGCAATGCAAGCCGCTGCGGGGCCTTGGGCCTTCTCTTGGAAGTTCCGGGTCTGCCTGGCTCGCTGCAGTTAGGTACATTCACATGCCAAAGCCTCTGCCGCAGCCTGGGTGGGGCGGGGTCTCAGGGAGTCAAAGGGCGGAGAAAGCAGCTATGGCTGATTCTCCTAAGGAGTCACGCGTCTCAGTGGCCCGATAATTGCTGCAAGCACCTCTGAGGAAAGCTGCACTCAAGTTCGCCCGCTGCCCGACAGGCCAGCTTCTCCCCGTATGAGTCCTGGGTCCCCAGAGACTTCCCGGAACCGGAGTTCAGAGCAGTCGGGAGCTTGTGATTCAAAAAAACAGCCGCGTCCTCAGGTGCCACCCCCTTTCTGCGCACGCGAGCCGCCGTACCTCTGCACTTCACCTCCGCAGCTCCTCTGGCTCTCAGCGTGCTTTTCTTTCCTTCTACTTGTAGAATTTACACTCAGCCAGGCTTCCTGTTGTTCTGGATGATGTCCGCTCTGTCCTTTGCGGTATTTTTCAATTGTTGTGGGAGGCGGCAATTTCCCGGTGTTTACCTATGCCGCCATCTTAGTTTCTAGCTGTTTTACATTTTGATAAGTCAAATTTAATAATTTTTTCTTTTAGCATTAATTTCTTTCCTAAGAAATCTCTGCTTGCCCCAAAGGAGCAGTAATTCTCTTATGTTTTCTGCCAGTAGCTTATAGCCTTTAGGTTTTATTTAATCTGTTGTCCGCGTCCCACTGATTTCTGGGGGTGGTGTGGGGTCGGAAGTGGCTGTTTGTTGTGGTGCTCGGTGGCAGCACTGCTGGCCGAGGAGACTTTTCTCCCGTGAACCGGCCGACGCCTGTGTTGAAAGTCCATTGGCCGTATCAGTGTGGGTTTATTTCCAGTTTTCCCTTCTGTTCTGTTTGTCTGTTGTGGGCACTTCATTCCCTCTGCCTGCTGTACAACATCCCACTGAGCACACACCATCATGTACTCACCCCTTCTCCTGTCGATGGGCGGGCGGGCTATTTCTCTGCCTTTACTCTTGTGAAACATGCCTTGTGAACGTGCCTGTATCACCTTCATTGTCCATGTGGCAGACGTCCTCTTGGGGTCACACCCAGATGTGGACCCCAGGCCGCAGGGACACTGCAGGGGCCATGGGTGGTGGCCTGGGGGCAGAGCTTCTCCAGCTCTGGGACTGCAGGTTCTGCAGTGTTGGCCCGTGAATGGAGGGAGCGGCCTCACTGTGTCCTGGTTTCAGATTGCGCCGAGCACGGTCTCTGTTGACGGCCTCGCCAGTTTCCTTTTCTCGTAACATGTTTGCATCTTTTTCCCACATTCCCTCTTCAAGCTTAGAGAAACGCTGCAAGCATAGGGCAAAGAACTCCGCGCACGGCTAGCATTGGGTCCGCCTCCCAGCACCTGTGTGCTTCCTGCGCAGAAGGACATGGGGCCACATACGTGCTTCGTTATGTTTGCGCCAACATGTTTCAGTTTCTTTGGAGCAGTTGTAAGTGGACACTGTTTTCATTTGTGCCCACATGTGACTGTGATCACGTGGAGATGTGGCTGTCTGTGCTGGTCTCCCATCCTGTGATCCCGCAGCGCTCCCACCAGTGAGGATTCTCCCGGTGCACGACTGTCCCTGCCCTGGAGACAGCTGGCTTCTTCCCTTCTGGCCTCTCTCACCTGCTGGTGCGGCGCTGACAGGCACACATCCTTGCCTCCCACTGTCTCAGCGGAAAGCGTCCACTCTCCCTCAGCGCTGCGCTGGCTGCAGGCTCCACCACACTGTTCCTGGCCTGCTCAGAGCTTTTACCGTGAACACGTGTTGGGTTTTTTGTCAGATACTTTTTCTGTATCGGTTGGGATTTGCTGGTTTTTAAGTTAATGTTTGTTACTGAAGATTTATAAGATTTTTTTCTGTATTCCTAGAATTGGGTGAGCTCTTTTAAAGTGCAGACTCAAGGTTTTTTCAAATGAGATAAATTTTTCTATACTAGTTCTTCATTTCTTCCCTTTTTATCTTGTTTTTTGCTCTTGGGGTTCCTGCATTTGAGTGTTAGGTCCTGCAGTCTGCTCCTTTCCAACTGCTGTCTCTTTGTAATTTTGCCTGTTCGTGTCGCAGTTCGACCTTCCAATTCATGTCGCAGTTCGACCTTCCAGTTCGTGTCGCAGTTCGACCTTCCAGTTCATGTCGCAGTTCGACCTTCCCGTTCATGTATTCGCTGGGAGCTGTGCTCCCACATGATGATATCGCTGCTGCTTTTAGAGCAAGACTCTCTGCTGTCAGCACAGGCAGCCTTTCCTGGGGTACAAGGGCAGCGTGGAGACTCCCCGTTTTCTCCTCCAGCAGCTCTGGGCTGTGCCTCACTCTGCTTCCCGGGTCCCCTTAGGTGCTCATGGGTGACTGCAGGCCACGCCAACCTGGCAGAGGTGTGGGAGGAGGTGGTGGCCTCGGCTCCAGGTGGCCCAGGTCCCGCCTCATAGCGCCTTCCCGCTGGCTCCCTCCCCTCGGTCCTACAACGACGACGTGGGCTGTGGATCACTAGTTGAGCGATCTGTTTAGAGCTCCATGGACGTGGGGTGGCGCACATGTGCTCTTGTGGTTGGCTGCTTTGCTGTGTCATACTTCAGTCCTGCTGCTGAGAACGTCGCCAGGGTTTGGACAGACTGTTTATCCATTTACCAGGGATGAACGTTCAGTAGTTTCCACTTCCTGGCTGTGAGGGACAAGGCCGCGGGACCACCTGTACGAGAGTTTGTGTGGGTAGACGCTTTCAGCTCTGAGGTGTGTGGGCGGATGGGATTGCTGGTGGCACAGGAACTCTGTATGTAGCACTTTGAGGAACAGCCAGAATGTTTTCCAAAGTGGCTGCACCTTCTTACATTCTCACCAGCAATATATGAGAGCTATTTGATTTATTTGATACTGTTATAAGTGGCATCATTTAAAAAAACTTTGTAGCTATAAAAAAATTAATTGAACTTTATCAATCTTGTCTCCAGAAACCTTGCTAAATTCACTTTTAATTCTAATATTTCTCTATAGATTCTCTTAAATTGCTTATGTACACAATCTTCCTCTTTCTAACCCTCTGTCTTGTATTTCTTTTTCTTGACTTAAGTCTCAGGAATTTGTTAAAGTCGTAAGTATGGCCATTCTTGTCTCCTTCCCCGTCTCAAGATGGAGAGCTGGAACTTTTCCCTATTGAGTATGTTGTTTGCTGTAGGTTTTCTCACAGACACTCTTTCTGAAACTAAGTTCCCTTCTAAAAGCTGGAGGAGCACGGGACGCCCTGAGACAGAAGAGGTCCTAGGCCAGGGTGGAAAAGCTTGGCGCTGTGTTTTAGCTGCTCACTCCCCTACCGCACTGTGAGCCTGTCCCTCTACGGTGTCCCTCTGCAGTCATCCCTCCCCAGCTGCCCGCCACACTGCCTGCCAGGGCCAGGTCGCCTGCGCGGCCGGGTCGCCTGCTGCCTGTGCAGCGTGCGAGAGCTGCAGGCTGTGGCTGGGTCAGTGCCGACCCACAGGGTCTGTTCCACTGGGCAGGGTCTGAACTGCCTGTCTGGCCTGTTGCCCGCTTTGCTGGGGGCTGCCTGCCTCTTCCCTTTCGTGTCTGTGGCTTCCCGTGAGTTAACGTGGGCTCCTCCCTGCAGGACGACGTGATGATGCCTCAGAGGGTGAGGCTGCAGCTCGAAGCCGCCGTCCGGCACCCAACAAGCGTAAGTGCTGACATCTGGTTCTGTGTTTTCGCTGCCTCTGATAAGATTGTCATCACAGCTTTTTTCTTTTATTTATTTATTTTTCTTGTTAAAAAGAGACCTGCTTATTACTGATAACACTTCATTTGGCTAAAACCATAAGAAGTTCACACACAAATATCTAACATGCAAATTCTCACAGGCAGTGTTTATGATACCCTGGTGTTGTCTTGGGGGAAATGGGAAGATAGTGACAGTAATTATTAAAACAAGGGCACAATTTGAAAAATAACTCATGTTACCTGCGTATATTTTATCTGGCACATTCAGAGGTGTATGTGAAGGGGTCATGTTGCCTGTAGGAGGGAGGCCCCACCGTACGCAGGTGCAGGCTCTTGCCTGGGTGGCTCTCCTGAGACACATGCAGAATCACGGCCCTGAGCAAAACCCCCAGAGTCGGGTCAGCTGTGCTCACTGAGCATCACAGCCTTTCAGCTCAGCGTCCTCCTGGGTGGAAGGCGGGTTACGGTGGGACTGCCCTCCCAGGGCACCTGTGAGGCCTGCAGGTGTTTTCCTGTGAAGGAGGACATGCCTCCTCTTTGGGGTGGCACTTGCTGCCTTCTGGTGGGTACAGAGGGTCTCTGGATTTTTGTTCTGTTTTGTTTGAGTCAGCATCTTTGAAGCTGTGCCCCTTAGACATGAACACAAAGGCTGAGAGCTTCCTGTGTCACCACAGGGCCTAACAGTCCCTCTCCCACCGGTAACTCAGTCGTGTTCTCTTTAGAGCAGCTTCCCTGTCAGCCCCAGAGCCAGGCCTCTCTAGGACCATCTTCCCGGCACTCGCAGGGGCCCCTTCTCGGCGGCGTGTGGCTCGTCTCCCTGTAGGAGCCCTGCGCGGGGAGGCGGCCGAGGCCCTGTCAGTCCTCAGACGCTCCCTCTCGTGCTCCTCGCTGAGTGTGCTGGCCCTCCCACTGTGGAGGGCCTCCGACCCCGGTGCTGACACGCCCCCCCCCCCCCCCCCCCCGGCCTGGAAGGTACAGCTCCCGAAGCTCCAGCATAGCAGGTCACCGAAGCCATCAGTGGTGGTGGTGCCCACTGCCCTGGCCTCACGTGCTGCTCTGCCCTTGGGCTCTGTGGGGACGCATGCATGTTTCTTCACAGCTCGGGGTCACCGCTGTCGTGCTCCCCCCTGTGTGGCCCTGCCAGCCCCTCTGCCTGGAGTCCTGGACTCCGCCTGCAGGATGCAGTCACTCCGTATCCCCTGTGGTGCCCCTGCCCCGCGCTGTGCCCGCCCGTGTGCACCTACACTGCCCGGGCCCACCTGTTGGACAGGGGTTTACAGGGCACAGGGAGCCTGTCTCCATTTGTTTTGTGTCTCAAATAAAACACTTATATCTAGTCAATGCTTGGATGTTAGTCGTGTGCCCCAGCTTGGGGGTCAGGCGTCCCCACGGCAGCGTCCAGCCCATCCAGTGCCCGGCGTGGTGTTGTTGCTGCAGGGGTCGGCCCCTGGAATCTTATGCGGCCACAGCTTCCTCGTGCGTGGGACATCCACCTGATGGAGTCGGCTGGCATGCCACCTGAGACAACCTTCCTCACCTAGAGTCCGCCGCCATGGACTCCAGTCACGTCTGCCAAACCCTTCCCAGCAGCACCCAGACAGGGTGTGAAGAACTGTCGGCAGCAGCCTCCTGAGTGCACACAAGCCCGACTGGGACGGAGCAGAGGCTGCACGTGGCGCCAGAGCGCGAGGGTGGGAGACCGAGCTGGGAGGACACCTCCAGGGTGTGGAAGCCGAGGGGGCAGGGGGACCCTTCTCAGGAGCTGCAGGCGCCCGGTGGGGCTCAGGGCTCTGTGGCTCCCACCCGATCCTGAGACGGTCACAAGGCGAGGAGTCTGAGCGCGCAGGGCAGGGGGGCGTGCTCCGTGCAGAGGTGGGCTCCGCCTCCACGGAGGCTTGTGGACGTCCACAGTCACTAAGATGCCATGTCTCGCCACTTCCTGGCTGGGAAAGAAGTCGGAAAACAAGCTTGGACACAGCGTTGGGACAGTTACTGCTTCTCCTCGGAGCCACATGGGAACGTTGTCCAGCTCTGGACAGTGGGCTGGACCTGCAACCTTCAAGCCCTGGTCATCAGGCATCATTGGATTCCTCCGTGGGGTCAGAGGACTGGCCTCCAGCAGTGTTGGCGAGATTCCCCAGTGACGTGGAAGGAGAGATGAGATGCGCACGCCTTGTGGTCTCACTCGTTTGCTGGGAAGAAGCCCTGGATGGACGTCTGCTCACAGGTCGTCCACCGGGCAGGGCAGGTGCAGGTTTGCAGACGTTTCTGGTCTGACAGGTGTGACAGAATTACAGGGGGCCCGACTCCGGAGGAGCAGCCCAGCTTTTCCGAGTTTAAGCTGCACTGACGGCCAAGCTAATAACTGCTTCTGCCTGTCCGTGCTAATCGTGTGACCCGGCGACAGTCACAGGCACGACCCCGCCCCGCGAGGACGACGCTGTGTTTGAGCAGTTGGCTGAGCCGCCCTCATGGGGACGCCGTGTCTCCTTCCGAGTGACGGCCACCCAGCAGTTCCTAGCATTGAAGTGTGGCCCACGTGGAAGCTGCTACGCCCCTGGCACCAGTGTGGGCGCTCTCGAGAGCGAGCTGCTTTCAGATACGTTGCTGTCCACCTTCTTCATTTTCATACTGAAAACAATCAAACACGATCAGCTCCGTAATGAAATCACTTGGGGCAGTCCTGCAGGCAGGACTCAGACGGACCACGATGCCTGGGGATACGCAGGAATTTGGAAGAAGGCCGACTGCATCTGCTCCTCACGCTCTTGACGTAAACTGCCTGGGGCTGCACTTTTACCACGTTCCAGGCTGAGCTCTTCTTGCTCGCCATCTACTCGAGTTCCTGCTCAGGAGGAACTCCGCCTCCTGCCAGTGCTCCCGGCTGGCGGCGGGGGCTGCTCTGTGGGGCCAGCTCCTGCCTTGCAGGTTTTCAGTGGAGACAGGGATGTCCTCACGGTCTGGCTGCATCAGAACAAAGCAGCTTTAGAGAGCTCGTTACTGTGGGGTTGGACTTTTTTTTAATCATGACCTACAAAACCTTAATTTGCGGTTGCTGATTGGTGGTTTTGTCGAGTGTATCATATATTTAGTTCAGAAAGAATGAAGTGAATGCTAAGTGTATGCTTGCCCTTGGCCACTGTTTTCTGAGCGCAGGTTACAAGAAAGCCACTTCATTGTGAAGGCAAGGCCCTGTGGTGGCTTCCACAAATGGCGCAGCTGCATAGTCTCTGCAGAATGTGTGGGCGTCACTGGGCAGCCCCACTGTGGCGTTTGTCCAGCACGTACTGAACCTTTCCAAGCAGAGATCAGCTATGGGGCCAGAGCTGGGGTGCAGGGGCACCTTGCCAAGGAGGGCAGCATCCTGGAGCATTCCCAGCCCATGTTGACGGCTTTTGGGAAAGATGGACCCTTGGTAGGAGGATATCTCCGAGGTCAGCGAGTTCCCAGGGAGCTCAGTACGAGCAATAAGCTCGTGACCATCCTGCCAGGGCCCCGCGTCGAGGGGATGCTGGCACCTCTGTCTTTGCAGCACCGTGTGGAGCAGAAGCAAGGACAGCACCACCACGGGCTACAGGTGAGCCAGCGCAGGCCCCGTAGCGAGCACACGGCCTCTGCCCTGGAGCATCAGGGTCTCGAGGAGGGTGAAATCCTTGGTGTGCGGCCCCTGTGTGCCGTCACCCGTCACCCGTCACCCGAGAGGACACAGGCCACCTCGGGTGTACAGGGCTGTGGGCAGAGCAGCAGAGCCCCTCCTCCTCCCTTGTTCCCAGAAGCTCTCCCTAACCCGGCCCAGAGGTGCCCACTGGTGCCAGGTGAGAGGTAGACACACAGGTGTGTGCACCCAGGAACTCACAGAGACTCTCTTCCGCTCACAGATCGTAGGCTGCCAAGTGAGGAGAGAGCCCCCCAACTCCACGGAGCGCTACACGCGCTGGATCAACCGGCTGGCGCCTGGGCAGCTGCTCATGCAGGTACTTGTTGCCCAGACGGGGCGCTGGCCACACTCCCCGGAGAGACGCCGCTTATGCTGGCAGCCGGGGCCTGGTTCACCCTTTAGCCCTGTTTGCCCACGCCCAGGGTGTGCCAGAGCTCACTGGGGAAGGGGGAGCATTTCAGAGGAGCCAGAGGGCAGGAGCCTGGGAGTGGGGCAGAGCAGCCTGGGCAGGGCCGAGCTTTGGGCAGGTGGAGGGTGGTGTCAGGTGGACACACTGCCGGGCCTGGGGCTGGAAGCTGAGGTACAGCATCAGGGTGGGGCTGCCCTGCAGGGGGTCAGGTCTGGTTCTGAGCTGCCAAGAGACCTGGGTTGAAATCAAACTGGAAACCACCTGTGAGGGGTGGGGGACGGCTGGTGGGAGGGGGGCAGCCCCCCCACCCCCAGGACGTGGCTCCAGAAGCCTGGAAAGGTACCCTGCCCATGTGGTGGGGGCCGGTGCTGGCATGTAGCTCACACAGCGATTCCCGTGGCCCTGCCATGTAAAGAATGCTTTTTACTGAACTGAATTTTGGAACTTGGTGTGAGGGATGATTTGTGTGATCATTTTCTCCTGAGGTCAGCGTTGCTGGTCAGCGTTGCTGGTGGTTCTGGCTCTGACACCCCGCTCCCCGAGTCACGGTGATGCAGAGCGTGCCCTGGTGACAGCGCCGGCGCCCTGGCCCTTTCTCTGCCAGGAGGGGCTGTGGGGCTCACGACTCCAGGATGGGCCCATCGTGCACGCACCCTCAGGACATGCAATCATGGGTTCTTTTTCTGTTTTTCTGAACAAAGGAGCACAGGAGACCTGGCAAGAGCTGCCAGGTCAGTGGTCCCCGAGCACTCAGTGCTCCCGGGGCGGGCGGGCTGGCAGGTCACCCAGGGGTGAAGCTGCTGAGTTGGACTCCTGACCTGTTTGATTTTCTGGTAGAATGAGACTCAGGCAAAAACTGTAACTAAGCACAGAGGGTGTAATTTAAATGCAGCAGCACCGTCTCAGCCAGAAATACAAGGTCTGGGCTGAGGGCGTGCAGGAAGCCTTCCCCGTCCTGCATCACAGAAACAGTTACGTGTGATGCTCGTCACGGTGTTTTCTTTAGCTTAACGTCTGAAGTTTCTCAGGATAAATCGAAGGCAGTATTTCTTAACGAAGTCACTTCTCAACCGTTAGTTACAGAAAACCACGATTTAATCAGGCACACGCCACCAAGTGGGTCCTTCCGTGTTCATAGTCTACACCAGTGATGGCGAACCTTTTGAGCTCGGCATGTCAGCGTTTTGAAAAAACCCTAACTTCACTCTGGTGCCGTGTCACATATAGAAATTTTTTGATATTTGCAACCATAGTAAAACAAAGGTTTATATTTTTGATATTTATTTTATATATTTAAATGCCATTTAACAAAGAAAAATCAACCAAAAAATGAGTTCGCGGTCACCTCTGACACGCGTGTCATAGGTTCGCCATCACTGGTCTACACTATCCCCTCTGTGCTCACTCCCAGCATCTTTCCTCTTCTTGTGAGAACACCTTGGGTTAGGGCCCTACCTTACAGTCACCTCCTACGTATAGTCCGCTTGGTGGTTAGGGCTGTCACGTGGGCTCCAGGCTACAGCACAGACACCCTCCTCGTGCTCTTCGACCTGGTGGCACGTCCTTGCAGATGGCAGGGCAGCTCCGCCATGAAAGCTCTCAGCCCACGTCGACCAGGCTGGGCTCAGACTCCGCCTGGGGGCTATCCTAGGGCTCTGGGCACGGTGTTTCACCTCATCGGTACTGGTCACCTGGTCCCAGACTGCCTGACGATGTGCTGGCCATGGTGATCAGCTGCCGAGGAGGACCCAGGAGAGAAGGACCGTTTGAGAGGATGCTCTTGTGTGGGCACGGTGCCAGCAGGGTGGAGGCGAGAGGTCAGCTCACCTTGTGAGGTCAGCAGCAGTGATGATGGGAGACAGGGGCCCCAGCAGGCCCTGGAAGGTCTCTCCGACGTCCTTGCCCTGAGGTTGAGGGCTGAGGCCACCCTGCAGGTCAGTCAGCAGGGGGCCTGCTGAGAGGGCACTGGTGTCTCGATCCTGTCAGGCGTTTCCAATCAGAATGGAGCGGGTGCCGTCGGCCAGTTGCTGCCCCGGAGGCCCCAGGCCTTCCATCAGCTGGGTGATCCCTGTGGCCCTGTTTTACTTCTGTAAAATGCAAGGGTTTAAGCCCAACACCCAGAGCCTCGGGCCGGCTGCTCTGTGGCACCTTGCAGCGTGCATGGGTGACATCCCGCAGCCGGTCCCATGGTTCTGGCAGTGTCCATAGCACAATGGTTGGAACCCCCTGGTTTGTGTAAAACCAGGACATTTCACTCTTCTTTGATCTCCATGTGTCTTTTTCTAAAAAGTTTGTCCTTGAAGCTCCATGGTTTTTACCTAACTCTAACCAATCAGCATTTATGAAATTTAAAATCTGACTGTGCTCTGACATGGTGCAGCTGTGTCGTTTTCTTCACGTTCTCTGTTAACGGGAGTGTCATAAAGTGGTGTCTGTGGAGCAGGTCCAGTAGGAATGAGCAACGTTCCACCTGGGTCAGTAGAGCGCTCACCAGCCTCTCCTAACACGACTGGAAAGGGAACTGACTGTTCATGGCCGTGCCTTTATTAAATCCAGAAGCCATAGGTTTTGGATTTCACATCAAAGTTTATTCTTGTTGCTATGTGGGTGTTAAATGTCAGAATCCCGGAAAACTTGTTATCTATCTAAAGATAGTCTTCCAACAAATTAGAATTTAGAAATAAGGATAATAAGCCACAGAAATCTGGAAATGAGTCATGTAAACTTTGTTCTTTCTCTGTGAGAATCCTGTCACTTCCTGCAGAGACACAGTTAATGAGGCTGTGAATCTCTAACTGCTCGTACTCTCTGACTCCAGGCTTCTCCTTGGTGGATAAACACCGAGCGCATGTGCAGCCCGTGGTCCGTCCTTCCTCTTCCTGAAAGCGGTCCCCTTTGTCTGCTGCGTCCACGCGTCCTTCTGCGCCTTCCTCAAGGGCCACGGCAGGTTTGCCAGTGGCATAGGGGGCTTGTTCCCGTTTGTTCTGCATCTGAAACATCTTGGGATAGACTTTTACGGATTGAGAACTACATACAATTCCCTTTTGCGAAGTGCACCTTCTGTTGGCATAAAACCAGGGAGAGCCCCAGACTCCCGGGTTCCCAGAGCAGCGCCTGGGCCCGAGAGGCCTCACATGGGAGCCTTGTTGACAAAGTTCTAAGAAACTGGATTATCTGATTTTTCAGTTGGTGACACAAACAGGGAGTGACAGCTTGAGAGTGAAGAGAAGGCGAAAATCGAAAAGGATTAGAAAGTCCCAACAGTCTCACTGGAGGGAAGGGCGTGGCTTTGGTGGCAGGTGGGGGGCAGCTCTGTCCACTGCGGGGGGGGGGGGGGGAGCCGCAGGGGGCTGACCCAAGAAAGGGGAGCTGCTGGCCTGTCGGTGTTTGGCCTGGGGCCTGGTTTTGACACTGAACGTCCAACAGGCCGCTCCTCCCGCTCCTCCTCGCGGCCCAGAGTGCCCTCTGCTGGGCCTGCGTGGAGCTCAAGTCTCCCTGAGTCGTCATCTGAGCAACAGGTTCAGTTCCCCATTATTTACCTGAACGAGAAAGAGTGAAAAAAATCAGCATAAGAGCATTTATGCCTCTCGGTCCTATTTCATGTGGGTCCCACGAATCCTGAGATCTGGGGCCATTTCTGCACCTCATTTACTCACAGACCCAGCAGTGAGGGAGACAAGAGGGGGGCGCTGGCCTGTTCCAGGCTCAGTAGTCAAACAGTTTTCATTTAAATTGAAGCCAAAGGCCCACCCCTTACCAGGTAGACCCCTGGTTAGCAGGTTGTTCTGCTGCCTGTTTTGTACATAAACTTTTATTGGTGCCCAGCTGGGCTATTGGTGTCCACTCTCTCTAAAAATCAATGGAAAAAATGCCTTTGGGTGAGGAAAACAGCAGCAAAGAGTCAGAGGTCTGGTCGGGCTGTGGCCGCAGGACTCCTGAAGTAAGTGGGGAGGTTCTTGGTCCGGATTTGTCGCTCGTTCAGGCTGCTCAGGCCCGGCTGCGGCAGAGCTGGCTCCTCCAGGTGCTCGGCTGCACCTGCGCGTGCAAGGGGGGAGCTGGACGTCACGCCTGCCTGGAGGCAGGAGGCTGGACAAGCAATGAACCACCTGAAACGCAAGAACACAGAAAAGCTTGAAAGAAACGACCAGGTCAGGCCAACTTGTCCTCTGACTGGACTTAAAGAAATCACCTCCAAATGTGCTTTCTTTGCTTTTTTGTTCCATTTTTATTCCTTCGTTCCCATCACCCTTCAGATAATGTCGGGTGTGGAGACGAGCTTGTGTCAGGTGGTGCTGGGTGTGTACTGGGCCTGGACGCGGGTGCCCGTCCATGGAAAGGGTCGAGCGGGGAGCAGAGAGACAGCCCCCAGGCCCTGGCATGCCCACCTGGAAGCTTGGAGGGAGGCAGGAGGTCGAGAAATGCCCTGTCACAGAAGTCCTCTCTCTTTGTTCTTTTTTTGACGGAGGGAAACATTACGAAACGCTTTGGAAACTGTTCTGGCTTGTTCAGGGAGTATTGGGGGTGGGGGTCGATGAGACCGAGAGAGTGCGACGCGGTCAGAAACGTCTGGGAGGAAGCAGCCCTGAGAAATGGTAGGTGCTGTGCTCTGGGCGATTATGTGTGATCTCAGACTGTCCGTGGAGGCCGTGGATGTGGGAGACCTGCAGTCGCTTTCATCCCGCTGTGTTGCACCTTCAGAAAAACTCCTCCCTCTCCCCTCGCGCGTCCCTTCCTCCCACAACGGGAAGCTGCGGAGATGGATTTGGAGATGAGAGCACAGAGCCGGAAACACCTCCGAATAAGGGCCACTGAGCGTGTGCGGGGACCTGAGCTCGGCCCCGAGTCCTCTGCCTCTTCTCTGGCAAATGTGTGCTCTGGGGAGACGGCGAGGAGGACTCGGCCGGCAGCCCAGGCAGGACCCCAACGTAGGCACATCTGTTCAGGCTCTTATTTGTACAGATTTACGTAGGTTTTCTGTTTCCTCTTGAGTTTTCTTTTTCCTCTTGAGGAAAACAACAGAAAATTCCCTTCGATAGGAATTTGTCCATTTCATCTAACCTCCTAGTTATCATCTCGGTCCTTTTATGCTATTTTAGTTCTGTTCCCTGTGGTATTCAGACAAGCGATGCCATCGATCAAACGCAGGGGGAGGCTCCTTAACAAACACTGTGAGCATCCGCCGGGAACAGAACCTGGGGTGGGCTGGGTCCCGCTAGCCATGTCCCAGCGCCTGCCCTCCGCCCTGCGCCGGGGGCTGGACACTCGATCTCGTAGCAGAGTCCCACGAGCCTGCACCTGCAGAGGAAGGACGCGCAGAGCAGCCTGTCACCCCTGAAAGACACTCGGGGGTGAGGTGCAGGCGCTGTGACGAGCTTCCAGTGTTAACTGTTCTAGGTCTTCACCTCCAATGGCCCAACTGTGGTCATGCCCACCTGGTTCTGCTCGCGAGCATGGTTTTCTCACGTGGGACCGTTCGACGAGGGCGGGCAGGTAAGTGTGGGTCCCCCTGTGGAGTCCTCCTCTGGGGTTGGGGTTGGTGCTGTCATTCCCCAGACTGGGGACCCCCGTCCCCCCACCCCACCCTAACACTTGTAGGCGCCACGACCTAGTCCAGGGATCAGGGGTGAGGGAAGCACCTCTGAGACGGTCCCCAGCACTTTGCTGCTCTGCTGAGCTCCGGGGCAGCTGGGGCCCGGCACCGTGTTTGTTTTGCCACAAGCAAGGGATTTCTGTGTGAGGCTGCGGGCATCACACCTGCCCTGGCCCAGGCCCCGGTTACCTCATCCTGTTGATGTGGGTGGTGGGTGACAGTGGGAGGAGGCAGCCCTGTGGGAGGCAGCCACGCTGGGCAGAGCTACACCCACTGGGTTCCGGCCTCTGCTGCTGGTCTGCTCACTGTTCCTCCCCAGCCCATCTTAGGGTGAAGGCTCCTGCACCCCATTACAAAGTAAACCTCGGGTTTAAATCAGTGTGTTTCCCCTTAACCCCTCCTGGGAAATGGGCTTTGAGGACATGACTTCCTCTCTCCAGGTTGGAGGGGGTGGACCAGGTGTGCCAAGGCCCATCAGGCCTTCCCTGTTTTAACCTTTGATGCCCTGTCCCCGGCACTGTGGGGGGCCTGGGTGTAGGGGGTGGCGGGAGTTCTGGGAACAGGGTTCCTGGGGGTCTGGAGACCCCAGACCAGAAGCAGGGACGGGGACTCAGGCCAGACTCCACCATCCGCCCTTGGACCTTGGCCACAGTCCTTCGGGCTCTGGGCCGACAGTTCACTGACTGATGGGGGCCACGTGGACTGCCCCCTCCCTGGTCCCGCCCAGCATCCCTCTGCCTCCCCCCAGCACTACCCGCCCCCCCCTCCCCCCCCCCCCCCCCCGTGCCTGTCGCCACAGGAGCCTCACCCCTGACCCCCGACCCGCCTTCCAGCTGGGTAGTCCCTCACGGCCACAGACATGCTCTGCAGGGTCAGGGCTATTCTCAGGTTTAAAAGCCAGAGCCCCGGGGGCTGCCCAGCAGTGCTGCCTGGGATGTAGCCAGCCCGCTGCCACGCCCCGGCCCCAGGATCGGCCCGCTGTGCTGCTCCTGCCCATGGCCCCACCACGCCTGATGGCACGCGGATCACCTGGCCCCAGTCTCTGTCCTGGAGGCGAACCAATCACGGTTCTAGGGCATCGGGCACTGTCCATGTTGCCGTTTCTCCCAAATTCACGCGGGCGGGAGGAGCTCGTGCGCTGCCACATGCCCTACAGGCACCAGCCCGAGAGGCTGCTGAGCTCTGATCCCGGTGGATGACCTGTTTCCACGTTGGGACTTAGAGACGAAGGGAGCCAACCCGCATCCCTGTCAGCACAGAGGTGGCTGCAGGCCCCACACCTGGCTCTGGTCTGAGCCCGGCGAGCGGATGGAGGGGTGCCCCTTCCTTATCTTGTCCAGACTCGGGGAAGTGGACCTGTCTCACAAGACAGAACCGTGGGAACCCTGCAGGACCTGTCCGAGCCCAGGGCCTGCCCCTGGGAGGTCGTATCTCAATGGACCAGCACAAGGGTTGTAGGGTCGGCTGGGAGGCGTGTGACGCGGGGAGGCAGGTATCTGCCCCCTGGCCAGACCGCCACGCTCCTCCCCTCTAGCTCCTTCTGGTCTTAAAGAGCTTCGTGTGATCACTCTCGCCCAGTGATGCCACCTGCTGGGTGGGGCAGCTGGGCGTGTGGTCAGCAGGCGGTGGCATCAGGGATCCAGGGGGGCCGAGTGGCTGGCAGCCTCCCCGCCTCTGGCCTGAGGACAGATGCCTGGGGGGAGCACTGGACGTGCTGTGCGTGGTGGTGAGCACCCTCCTCCCCGCAGGGCGTGCCCGAGGACCTGCTGCTCTTCTACAACCACCTCAGGAAGGGCGGCGTCAGACGGGTGGACCAGAGCCTGCTCCTCTACCGCTACCACCCCAGCGGGGCCACGCACTCCGTGCTTGAGTACGCGGTCCCCAGCCGGGGCGGGTGGGGTGCTGTGGACTCCGGGGACTGGCTGAGGCCCAGGGTCCAGTGTGGGGTGAACTGAGACGGAATTCACACGTACGAGGTGGGCCCTGCACACTCTGACGAGGCTGCAGGGGGCTAGGCACCCTCTTCCTTCACCCCGACCCAGAGAAGGCTTCGGTGGCAGTGGAGCCACACCCCTACTTGGCATCACAGGGAAGCCAGCCCCCTCCCTCCCTCCCTTCTCCCCCGTCAGACACAGTCCACGTTCCCCAGCTCCAAGGCCGCCTGAGCCTCTGTGCCGTGTGTGAGGGAGGCCGGCTGCTGGGACGGGCAGGGGGGTGCGAGCCGAGGTGGGTTGGAAAAAGGAAGAGTGTCTTTAGGTCGAACTGTGTGCTCCGTCTGTGTCACGTATGTGTGCGTGTTACTAGGTGTGTCCCTCGGTTCCTCACCATCGTGCTGCTCACTTTTGGGGACTCCAGACAGGTCAGTCAGGGACCCTCTGCACACCCAGAGCGTGAGGCAGGGCCCGCACTCGCGCTTCTAGAAGCCGAGCGACGGTCCTCCTTTCCCTGGAAGGTGTGGGACCCTCCGTCCTGGGAGGTGTGATGTCCACTTACACTGAGGTCACGGGCGCCGCGTCATGGTCACGTGGGTGCGATGCCAACTTTGCGTGTCGTGTGTGGGTCCCAGCAGCGACGTCCGCATTGACTGGAGGTGCTGCTCACCGTGAGAACGTACAGCTGGACAGGCCCTGATCCTCGTCCTGGTGGTGCCTGCATTTGACACTGTAGCTTCAGGGAAGCGCCATTGGGTTTGTTGTCATGAACCTGACTCAGAGCAGAACCTCACCGAATTCAAGGGAGAAGCAAACCCACAGTGAGAGCTGGAGTTTCTGAGACTGCCTCGGTCGCGGATAGAAATGGGGCGTCTGTGTGGATGCCGGAGACTTGAGCAGCTCTATCAACCAGCTTGACCACCTGCCGGTTATGGAGGGAGCACGAAGCCCATTCTGCTAAAGTGCAAGACAGGCAATACCTTGGATCAATAAACAAATCTAAATTTCAAATCGAGATCATACAGGATCTGTTTCATGTCCACACAGAATTAAATTAGAAATTATTAAGCCATTTTGAAAAGCCAAAATACTTGGAAATTGAGCAACCAAGGGGAAAAAAGTCACAAAGGAAATCACAAAATTTTCAATGAAAATTAAAATGTTTGTAGAATTTAGCTAGAGTTTTTAGTAAAATTTTATGACTTTTAAAACTTAGAAGATACTAAGCAATTATTTGAGTCTCCACCTTTAAAAGTTACTAAAGTAATAGCAGAATAAACTCAAAGTCAACAGAAAAATAGAAATGAACAGTGGAAGAAGGTGAAATTGACATGCACAGCCCTGGCCCATGTGGCTCAGTTGGTTGGTGCATTGTCCCTACACCAAAGGGTGGTGGTTTGAGTCCCAGTCGGGGCACACTGTCTCTCTCTCACATAGATGTTTCTCCCTTCCTCTCCCTAAAAATCAATTTAAAAAAAAAAGAAAAACAACACTTAAAAAAAAAAAAGGGACTGTCAATACCCAAAAAAAATCAGCAAAACCAACAACTGTTCAAAATAAAATCAATAAAATTGACATATCTCTTGCAAGGTTGATTTTTAAAAGAAAATATAGGTTACCAATATATTTGGAATGAAGGAGCCCACTATAGATCTGAGATATTTAAAGTATAAATAAAAATTAAAAATTAGACTTGTAATTTTGAAACTTTCCATAAGGAAAAGCCAAGCTCAATGGGTTTACTGATAGATATGTTCTATCAAAGATTTCAGTAAGAGAGGATACCACCTAAGATCCATGCACTTCACTGTGTAAGTTATACTTCCTTTAAAATTTAAAAACATCTAGCAGTGACCACAGCGCTCTCCGGCCCGCGGTGTGGCTGCTGCCCGGGTATTGGGGAGGGACCAGGCAGCAGTGCTGTGTCCTCGTCCTGTTTGCATGCCATACTTGTCTTTTATTTTGGGACACCCCCCCCCCCCCCCCATTTTGCAGCACGAGGCTTTGCCACACACAACACGAAAGAAGTGATCTCATGTTAGTTTCTGTATGGATTAAAGTCTTTGCGCTGTGAGTGGGAAACCTCCCAGCGTAATGGGCTTAATTATGCCCTGAGGTTTGCCAAGAACTGGATTCCTTCAGACTCTCTCCCCAAAACCCCTCTTTTGAGTGGGCGCCAGTTCTGGTCCTTTGTATATTAAATTAAGACTGGTCAGCACTTACATCATTTAACGGTTGTCACTGAAATACTTCAGGCACCAAAAGGCAGGAAGGAAAGTATAATAAAACCTGGCCCACCCTGACCCCTCGCGCTTCCCCAGGCTCTGTCTCCTGCCCAGCGGCCCCCATGCCACTCCCTCCACTTCCTCACACGTTCACTGTGTAATTTCTCTCTATACAATACCCTTAACCTCTTTGAAATGTTATGTAAACGGTAGCATTCTGCTCATTCTTTCTGAAAATTGCATGTTGCTTAACTAGAGTTGAGCTCTTGTCCCTTCGGCGTCTCTGCCTCCTGTTCCAACTCTGGGCCTGCTGTGCCCAGTGCAGGCTACCCGTGACACTGCCCCTCCTCCCCAGAAAGTTCTGGAAGTGCTCATCTGTGGGTTTGGGGAAACCAGTGCACTGGCCCCTGCGCTGCCCTGCCCTCGGGTGAGGACACTGGTCTCCAGCAGGCAGGGGCGGGAAGGGCACGAGTGTGAAAACGGCTCTGGAAGAGGAACGGGCCCAGGGCAGGAAGTGCCCACGCACATGTGTCCGTGGCAGTTTCTCAGTCTTGTCAGCTCACCCCGTGTGGTACTTTCAGACAGAGACCCTGAGATGATTCCAGAGACACAGGGAGGTCGTTTAATGCCCACATTCCTCTGAGCCGTTTGGCTCTGTCCGTCCCTCAGGGCAGCCTTCCCACCAGCCCCAGGGCTGGTGCGGTCCCGTGTGGGCCCATGCCAGCCCAATCCCCGAGGCTCTGAGCCGTGTCTGGTTGGCAGTACTGATCTGCTCAGAGACCTGGTCTGGGCCATTTCATATCCTTGTAAACGTCCACAACTGTGGGCATTCTGGTGGGCATCGCATTTAATATGTACCTCAAATGGAGAAAATGGGCTGGTTAGAAAGAAGCAATTCAAGTCCCAGAAGTGGGGAGGCCCCGTGTCTGCAGCCCCTTCTCACCTCGCCTGTGGTGGGGAAGACAAGAGCCAGGGTGCCCCCCCCCCCCACCGGCAGGGCCCCGGGGCACCTCCTGTTTCTGCCCAACCCAGGCGCACAGGAACCGAGGGCCCCACTCGGTGCCTTTCGACACTGAGCTGACTTGAAAGAGGAAAAGTGTTAAAAGGGACTTCTTGCTCAGGACATCACATTGGCTAGAATTCACTTGCATGTGATCCACTGTTCTTTTGTCCTTAGAAACTGTCAATTTTTAAAAATATATATATTTTTATTGATTTCAGAGAGGAAGGGATAGAAACGTCAGTGGTGAGAGAGAATCATTGATCAGCCGCCTCCTTCATGCCCGTCACTGGGGATCGAGCCCACAACCTGGGCATGTGCCCTGACTGGGAATCGAAGATCCATAGGTCGACAACCACTGAACCACACCAGCCAGGGTTCTTTCATTTTCTTGGATGCTGGCAAAGCTGTGTGTTGTGTGGCCAGGCCTGCGTGGTGTGTAATTGGCTTGGAGTGTGTGTAGCTTGTGTGTTTCTTTCTGAAATGAGGTGCTAAGTGCCAGGATTAGGGAGTCAGCACTGTAACCCCTGTAATGCCCACCAAGCCACTGCCCCAGGTGACGAAGACCAGGGCATATGTACCGAGGGGATATGAACCGAGGGACCTGGCAGGCTGGGTGGGGCTGGAAGGGTCACAGCCTCGCTCCACAGGTCCACCATCTGGACCCACCGAGTCCGCTTCCTGGAAGAGCGGGCTTTGCCACACTGGGCAACCTTCACTATCTGGAACGCAGGCAAGCAGGGCCGCCGGCTCTACCGCAGCCTCACAGCAGAGGCGAGGCGCAAGGTGGGTGCCCCCTCCCCCGCCTCCTCTTCCCCTGCGTCCTCCCCCACCCCTGTCCCCACCCCTACCCCCACCCCCCACCACTGTCCAAGGCTGGCGTCCTATGTCCTCCCCAGGTGGTTGCCTTCTGCGACGTAGACGAGAACAAGATCAAGAAGGGCTTTTACTGCTATGAGGACTCTCAGGTGTGGAGGCCCCTGGCGCCCCTGAGCTGGGGGCTGGGTCCTGCACAGGTCGCCACACTACACCTGGTCCACCTCTAAGACGCCATCCTGGACAGGCCACCTGGGCCCAGGCAGCTGCAGACACAGCCCTCAGACTCCTGGGGGGGTTGGGGGGCCCCAGAGTAACCTGTGCCCACCCCATCTTTTCACTGGAGAGCCCTGCTCACAGGTCCAGGTCTCCCACCGCCCACCTGGGTGGGTTCCGCGGCGGCTGTGAGGTGGCTGGGCAGGGGTGGCTGGGTCCCGGGTCTAGCCTGCGCTGTGCAGTTGGGAGTGGTACAGGGCTCAGGTGACAGAAAGAGCAACGCCCACGCCCTCTTGTCTCAGGAAAAGCCCAAGCCCCGGGTGCCCATCCTGCACTTCCGAGCCGCCCGCCCGCCCTTCGTCATCTGCGTGAAGCTGGTGAGTGCTGGCTGCGGGGCACGTGGGGCTGGGACACACCCTGGATCACCAGGCGGCTCGGCCTTTAGGAGCTGGCTCCCAGGCTGTGCTGGGAGGACACCCTGATGCCCACAAAGTGGCCAGGCCAGGGGACGCCCAGAGCCAGTTCCCCAGATGGCGGTGCGGTGCTCTCACTGGTTTTAAGATGCACGTTCTTGCTCAGGACACCACGAGCCTGAGCCCCTTCCTGTACTGACTGGGCCTGTGGAGCCCCCTCTCCTGTGGTTTCCAAGCAGCTTCTCCCCTTTACCTGTGGGACTGTGTGCCCCCTGACAGCCGTCGACGCCATCCTTACCTGCTGGGCTGTCACCCTTTGTTGGCTTGTCTGGCCTTTTCATTTTTAAAAAATATATTTTTTTTATTGATTTCAAAGAGGAAGGGAGAGAGAAACATCCATGATGAACCACTGACCGGCTGCATCCTGCACACCCCACACTGGGGGTCGAGCTCACGACCTCGGCATGTGCCCTGACCGGGAATTGAACCCTGACCTCCTGGTTCATAGGTCGACGCTCAAGCACTGAGCCCTGCTGGCTGGGCTGGCCTTTTCATGCTGTTAACGGGCGATGTCAGCTAATGGACGCGTCCAGCTGCGCTTGTTCAGGAACCCCTTCCAGTCCGGAGCAGGCCTTCCCGTTGGCCCCTCTGCAGGCCCAGGGCTGGCAGCCTTGCCCACGACCCCTGGGCCACACTCAGGCGGGGCCCAGTTTTCCTGTAACATCTCAGGAAACATCTCAGCACGGGAACGGAAGAGAAGAGGGGGGTTTGAGCATGGACAGCACGTGGAGGACAGAATCTGGACATTTCAGATGTTTCCCAAGTAGAGTAGTTTTCATTTCTTTTTAAAATATACTTTTATTGATTTCAGAGAGGGAGAGAGCGCTACATTAATGATGAGAGAATCAGAGTGGTTGTCATTTAAATACGCGTAGCAGCGCCCAGTAGTAGCAGGAGGAGGAGGAGCATGACGGCCCAGGTGGGCATAGCCAGGCCGGTTCCCGCGCTGGCCTGACCCACGCATGACACCAAGGGGAACGAACATGGTAACCAAGCAGCACCGTCCCTGCCATGTGCTGCCCAAGGCCAGGGACCCACGGGTGTGCCGGCTGTGTCTTTGGGAGCCAGGCTATGGAGGTAGCAGGGGTCTGGGATGAGAGACAGGCCTGGAAGGCCCCGGGGGCAAGAGGGCTTGGGGCTAGGGATCAGGGCCAGGGCTGGGGTTGGGGTTACGTGGCCTGGCCGAAGCCAGCATTCCTAAACAGGCCACGCTGAAGCATTTAGGAACCTGCTCCCCAAGTCCCGCCCCGCCCCTGGGGTAACCTCAGTGACCTTGTAGGATCACATGCACGTTCTGGACAGAGCCAGCCTCCTGGGTCCTGACCCTCCTTGCAGGGTCCTGGCCCGCTCTGCTGCAGGGACAGCAGAGCGGGCGGCAGGGGGATCCGTCAGCAGCTGGGTGAGTGGCAGTTTGTCCCCAGGGGCCACCTCCCACTGTGTCCCCTGCAGAAGAGGGATGGGGGCTCCTGGTTCTGCCCTGGACAAAGGGGTGAGAAGGGACTGTCCCCGAGTCCCTGCAGTGGGGGTCAGCTGCCTTCTTAGGGAGGGGCTGAGAGGGGGTGTCCCTCAGGACCCCAACCTCCCACGGTGACCCAGCCTATAGGAGATTGTGGCGTCTCGCCTTCTGTTTCCTGTCCTGCCCCCCGACTCCCAACAGTGCAGCACAAGTTCAGAGTGGACCGCCTGACAGGTGGCCACAGGGGGCCCTGAACCCGGGAGGGAGGCTCTGTGGGACTCCACCTGCTGCTCCTCCCACAGGACCTTACTGGGGGTGCATTTGAGGACAACCTGAGGTCGCTGCACCTGCAGGAGGGCCGGGACTTCCTTCACTTCAGCTGACAGACCACAGCAGCCATGGAGTCCTGCACGTGACAAGGGATCGGGGGCCGTCGGGAAGGACAGCCATGTGGCCGTGTGGCAATGGCAGACCCCACGTGGGAGACCTTCACCTGGCGGGGGGGCAGGAGGGGTGTGTTCTGATGGGGTGGGATCCACACCCTCACCGGGCACCTGACACGTGCCCACACACCATGGCCTCTTCTGAGAACATTCGCCACGTGGAGTGTCTGCGTGTGGGCACTGCCATGGCGCCGTCTGGGTGGGCGTGCGCTCACCCGTCAAAGTGAGCACCCTGGGGTGCAGCTACTGCGCTTGACCTCAGGAGACGGGTGGGAGTCAGACCGCCTGGCAAGAACTGCTGTGCTCAGCACCCGGTGGCGGGGCATCGGGCAGCAGAGGGCAAGGGGCTCAGGGGCCTGCCGGGGGCTGTGGCGGGAAGGGGGGCACATCTGGTTTCCTCTGGTTGGTCTCAGTTGTAAACGGAGCAAAAATTAGGGGAGCTGGCAGTTACTGCCCACTCCCGGGGATGGACTGGCTGCTGCAGGCACTGGGCAGGAGCTGAGGTTGTATGGCTGGTCTGGCATCGTCTGCGTCCAGCCTCCCAGTCCTAGGACCCCACCCCTCCCAGTGGCCCCACCCAGGCCAGGAGAACAAGTCCCAAAGAGCTTTTCCCTAAATGTGGGGTCTCCTGGTCCCGCGTTCCTCCTCACATCTGAGACCTTCTGCTCAACCCTTTCCTGCTGATGTCCATCCACAAGGAGACAGCTTGTCGTCACACCTGGAAAGGGTTTGCACAGGACTGTCCCCACAGCAAAGACCCATCCAGCCCCGATGTCAACAGTGAAAAACCAGCCACAGGCTGGAGAGCCCGTCCTACCTACGGTTTGGCTTTGCTCTCCTTGAATCCCTTCCACTCGGCGCTCAGTCCTGCCACGTGGAGTCGTGTCCTCAGCACCAGGGCAAGCTGATCCAGCCTCTCAACTCGGCCGCTGGGACTCGGGCAGCAGGGGCGCCACCGTGTGCACAGCTAGCGGGGGAGCCCGTCCTGTGTGGACCGTTGGGCTTCTGCATCGAGGACGGCTGCCTCCCAACAAGGGCGGGCGCCTGCACGGTCCGCACCCCCGCCCCCGGGACAGGTCCCTCCTCTCAGGCGTCTCCTGACTCTGCCTACACGTTTCCCGGCTGTTCTTCCCGACAGTTTCTGCGGGTCTTCCTGTCCGCGTTCTCTCCTCAGCGGTGTCCACCAGGTTGTTTAATCCATGGAGCAGTTTGTCGTTAAGCTCTTCTTGATAAACTCATTTTATATTTTGTATCTTTTGGGGTTTGATTCTAAAAATTTCTGGAATGTGAGCTTACATTTTAAATTCTCTCTGTGGGGACCAGCCAGCCTTCTCAGAGGGGTAGTGGGTTTTGCTCGTCTGCCCCTCGTCTGGGGCTCCGTGTTCGAGCTGTGGGTGGCCAGGGGAGCGTTCCTCCCTCCACCCCAGCACCAGGTGGAGCCTGGGACAGGGATGCTCTGGCCGCACCTTTCTGGGAGGAGGCCTTGGTCATTCCCCCTCATGCAGAGGGTCCCAGCTTCTCTTGCTTCCCAGCCCTCAGGTGCACACGTGTGATCTTTTGCTCTTGCCGCTTCTGGCTACAGGGTAGGTTGTGAGAGCTGGGGATTCCCTCCAGACCCCTCACCTAGACTCAGGTGGGCAGGCAGAGCAGGAGGGAGCCTAGGACTCTCGCTGGCCTCCAGTTTACGCCCCCATTAGGCTGTCCCCCCATCACCCTCGCTCACAACAGTGTCAGACAGACAGACTGCTCAGCACGTGATTTTATAAGATGTGGACTCGCGTTTAAACAGACAAAAGCACCGACACAGGGTCAGTAGAGCGCAGGCGCCCGTAATAAAGAGCGCCCTGTGGTGACGAACTCCTCCGCACATGTTTCAGCAAGGGCCGGGGTTCTGCACCAGTTTTCCTGTCCTGAGCGGCATCTGGCGGCTCCTCCCAGCAGACGGCACAAGCGCTACTCGGCTCCCAGGACTGGCCTCAGCGGACAGCAGGCTGCAGAGCACACGACAGGGTTAGTCAGGACGGCCAGCACCATCGCCCGCCCCCTTTGGGCTCTGCTTCCCACAGGAAACCGAGTTTGGGCCTTTTCCCCAGACATCCCAGGAGCTGACACCTGTTCTCCCTGACCACACCCATCTGAGTGCAAAATTTTCCTAGTAAAAACGAAAAAGCACATTCACTTGGGAAGCTGATACTGCGTGGCCTGTACACAAGGAGACGGGAGCGTCACAACGCTCCTCCTGCCACCTCTGCCCGAGTGTCCCCTGGGGGCTGACAGATCAGCACCTGCCCTGCACCAGGCTCCCGGGGGGGACTGCCATGTGGGTGCTGCCCTCCCCGGGTCCTGAAAGCCAGGAGGACCCAGGTGTCTCGGCTGGAGCTCAGGACAGTAGCTCGTCGGAGCTGTTGGGAGGCCTGGCCCGGAAAGGGCCCCGGGTGTCCCTGGCGCTGCCCGAGGGGGACGTGCAGTTACCTTGGGGACCAGCTGAGGTCTGGGCACCCCGAGGAGGTCACACAGGCGGTTCCGATGGCCTCTTACGAGCAGGAGCTCCAAGTCCCTGTGGGGAGAGAACAGGTTGGCTTCGGCTGCAGCAAAGGCCCACTCGCTTTAGTCAAACCTGCCACAAACCTTAGTTTTTATTTTTTAAAATACGCTTTTATTGATTTTTAGAGAAAAGGGAAGGGAGAGGGAGACATGATAGAAACATCAATGATGAGAGAGAATCATTGATCGGCTGCCTCCTGCACACTCACCACTGGGGATCGAGCCCGCAACTCGGACATGTGCCCCAAACGGGAATCGAACCCTGACCTCCTGGTTTATAGACAGGTCGACGCTCAGCCTCTGAGCCACGCTGGCCGGGCTGGGGAATTTTTTTTTAAACAGAAAGGGATTAAATTATAGGGACGAACCTTCCCCCTCTGCCCAACACTGAGGCAAGGCTGCGCACAGCAGCCCCCGCTGCAGCCACGCCACACGGACACAGCACATCCTCGCGCAGGACGAGCCTCCCACACTGCACCCCACTGCGTCTGACACTGCAGCTTGGGCAGGAGCCCAGTCCCCGTGCAGCCGGCCTGGGTGCACCAGTGCCCATCGCGCCCAACGAGAAGCAAAAACATTTGCCCATTTCACTTAAAAAACATTGCACTTGGTGGGGAGGGGAATGTGGGGGGAGGTGCTAGAGGTGGTCAACGGGGGGAAAGGGGACATATATAGTAATACTTTCAACAATAAGGACTTTTTAAAAATTTGCATGTGAGAAAAATAATTTCACTTTGAAAATGTCACCCCTGAGCAGCCGGGAGGCACCCTGCTGCTCCGCGTGTGGCTGGCACAGCCCTCTGGGTGCGAGGGGAGAGCCTGCGCTGCAGAGCCTGAGCTGGACAAGTGGGGAAAAGCCTGTTACAGCCGCCACCACGGCCGCCTCAAACCCAGAGCCAAGGCCGTCGAGGGCTGGGAGCCTCGCTTTTCCCGTTCCCTTTCCCTTCGGGGGCTTTGGGGAGAGACGGGGGGTCAGGAAGGGAGGTTGGCACGACCCGCGTCCTGAGAAGGGGAGGAGCCGAGCACTCACCAGGCGGTGTCGCTGAGCACAGCCATGACCTCGTCCAGGACGTCCGCGCCCACCACGCCGCTGTAGGTGAGCAGCATCTCGTACACCTGGCTCGCTGTCGTCTTGCGGATCTGGTTGGACAGAGCATTAGTGAGAGGGGGACCCCGGAGTCTGACTGAAGCCTGAAGGACGTGCTGACCTCAGATCCTAACCTGGGAGACCTGGCCGTGACCACAAGTGTTCCCACGACAGCACGAGGCCCCCTGGCCCCCTGCGATCCCTCCAGAGCCTGACAGGCCGGCCGAGTTCTTGTCGATGTGCCTCCTGAAAGACCTGCCCTCATCAGGGACATGTCTCACCTGTTTCTGCCCTAGGATCCCCTGTGGGGACATTTCACAGAGCCACCCCAGGGTGTAAGCCAGCAGGTCAGTGGCCCGAGACCTGCCTTTCTGACGGGTGCTGCTGGAGGTGCGGGCTCCTTTCACCCTTAGGAAAAGGTGACGTTTCCCTGAAGAGCATCCTTTCAGCCAAAGGCAGAGATTTCTAGGAAGCCTGACCCTGCAGGGGGCAGTTCTGGGTGAAGGCATCACTCGGGGTGCGGAGCTTCCAGGACCCCCCTGCCCAGGGCCTCCTGGGGGGGTAGTCAGGGATAGATGTGGGGGGTAGGGCCTCACGGTGCATCACCTGCTGCCCCTCAAGGGCAGAACCCTCCCCCCCAGAAAGACCGTGAAAGTCACACGGCAGCTGCTGCTCCTGAGACTTGAGGGTCCACACAGCGGAGGACACCCCACCACACGCCCCCTGCTGACTCAGGAGGTGGAGTGAGGCAGCGTCCCACCTGGACCAGGGCCCGCTCTGCGGCCGCTCGCCCCAGAACCCACGACACCGGCACCCGCGACACCGGCACCGCACGCAGAACACGCAGCTGCACGTCCCTGGGAAACCCCGAGGGTGGGCTGCTGGTCACACACACTCACCACGGGGAACGGGTGGCAGAGCAGGAGCAGCAGCTGCAGCAGGACCTTCCTCCGCACACCGCCGGGGAACTGCGCCATCCCACAGAACCTGCCAGCAGCACACGGTGAGCGGCCTGGGCCCAGCCAGCCGCCCGCGGTGGCACAGATGCCAGAGCCGTGCTGACCCCAGGCCTCAGGGTGGCGCTCCAGTTTAGTCACCATGATCACTGCAGATCGAGGCATCCAGACCACCGTCCAGATCTGTCTAGATCTCCAGGGTCGGGACACTCCGCCGCCCCTCAGGCCAAGGTCACACGTGGTCAGGGCTGGGGACACGGCTACAGCTTCCCGCTTGTTCTCAGGACTCTACACGGCCTCAGGGCTTCCCAGCCCCCTCCCCGAGCCCGCCTGCGTCAGCCTGCGTGGACTCACACAGCGATGCTGGACCGCAGTTTCTGGACGTCCTTGGACTTGCTGGTTTCCGCCTTACAAAGCTCCAGCAGCTTCACACAAAAGGGGTGGCTGCAAGGACAGCACAGGCAGGGGGTGTGACGACCAGGTCACCTTAACTGGCTCTGGTGCCGCGCAACCAGCGCCCATCAGGCAGCAGCAGAAGCCTGGCCCAGCGGGTGCGGCGGCCCAGCCGCTGCGGACCTCACAGTCCAGAGACCCTTCCCACTGGCTGCTGCCCTCTCACGCCTGCAAGGGGAGCGGAGTCCCGCCTGCAGCGTCGTCTTCTCAGGCCTCAGGCTCCTTTCACATGACATTTCAGACGCAACATCCAGACCACAAGTAATGAGACCCATGGGGAAACTAGAAACTGCATGGGAACCCCATGAGGACTGCAGCCCAGAGCCACACAGAAGACAGCGGACGGGAGAGGGCAGACCCGGCAGGAACTGCAGGGAAGCGTAAGGGACCCTTCCGATCTGGAAACAAACCAGATGCGCAGAGACACCTGAAAACTACAAAACCCAAAAACAGGTCCTGTACAAACACACGAGGCAGGGATGGCCCGTCTCAGACACCAGCAGGTGGAGACAGACCCGAGCGATGGCGCAAAGGCAGGAACGGCTGCCGGTGCAGGGGTGCAGCAGGCACGGTGGGATCCCCGAGAATTGGGGGTGTGGGGGGGGCTAGTGCCCCGAGGACAAAACCCCAAGAGGTGGGACAGCTAAAAACTTCCTAGAACAAATGAAAACCAAGGGAACCACAGAGCCGAGTTTAACAAATCCCTATTAAGACACATGCAGGAAACCTGACAGCCAGGCACATGAGGAACACAGGGACGCCAAGGAGGAAATCGTACGAGGGGCAGGAAACACCCAGACCGCTTCCAAAGGCCCAGGCGTCCAGACCGGGGCGGGAACGGCCAGCCCGCGGGCCGTGTGCAGCCCAAGAGCTCCTTCGGTCTGGCCCTGCCAAGGCATGAGGGGCGAGTTAATGAAATGTTTGCCCAAATACAGAGGTAATGTTTCCGTGGGTAATTCTGTACGGCCCACAATGAGTACAAATATCCACGTGGCCCTCGGCAGGAAAAAGGCTCCCCCCCTGAGACAGAGGTGACGCCGAGAGTTACAGGAGGCGTTGGAATAAACGAAACACGTGTGTGTGTGTGTGTGTGTGTGTGTGTGTGTGTACACGCTAATCCCCACCTGAGTGTATTTTTCCCCACTGACTTTTTTTTTAGAGAAAGAGTGGGAGGAAGAAGAGGGGAGGGAGAGGGAGGAGGGGGGGGGAGAGAGACCAATTGGTTGGTTGCCTCCTGCACCCTGACCACCCTGACCAGGGCCGGGGATTGAACTGCAACCCAGGTATGTGCCCTGGACCAGGAAATGAACCTTCGACCCTTCGATGTGAAGGCTGACACTCCAACCACTGAGCCACACCAACCAGGCAAGGAAACATTTTTTAAGTCCTGAAATAAAACAGCTGCCTAGAGTTCTGTGAAAAACACTGCAAATGAACACGAGAAAGCATTTACCAGCAGACCTCACTAGGAGAAATTCTGAAGAATGTTCATTAGGCAGAAAGAACAAGACCCCAGGTAGGGATTTGGGAGCAATGAGAGACAAAAAAGTAGTAAAACTGTGGGTAACAAACACTAAAACAAAACAACAACTAAAAATGCAGATGGACCCATCGTGTTCCAAGTCCTTGGAATTGTCCAGGAAGAGAGAGAAATACTGAAAATTAGACGGACAGGGTGACCATGAAGAGAACAGCGAAGAGGAAACAGTCCCAAACAAACCTGAGAGGAACCAGCAGAGGCCACAGATGCCACACCCGGTGCCTCCACCCAGCTGGCCTCTGCTCCGTCCACTGCGGCAGCCACAGGCCCGTCGCTGCTCCCCCCTCAGCTGCCCAGCCAGCCTCACGGGGGCATTTACAGGGCATGTAGAAACCGACCTGAACACACTAGGAAATAATCCCTAAAATTCTGATCTCTGGCCTGATCGCTGTTTCTTTAGAAGATGAATCACGAGGCTTCAGCGGTCAAGCAGCCGACGCAGGAAGAAACGAACACTCACTCCTCCTCTGCCGTGAAGATGTCGAAGCAGCCATTGGCCAGCATCTGGTCCAGCATCTTGAGCAGCGGCACAGATACCCTGCGGGGAAAGGACGTGCTGTGAGGCCCAGGGGCCACCGAGGGAGAAGGGAGGGTGTGTGGAGAGCGGGACACTCAACCCAGACACTGCCAACCCCCCCGACACCGCCGCCAACACCCCCCCCCGACACTGCCAACTCCCCCGACACCGCCACCAACCCCCCCCCGACACTGCCAACTCCCCCGACACCGCCGCCAACCCCCCCACCCGACACCGCCACAACCCCCCCGACACTGCCACAACCCCCCCGACACCGCCAACCCCCCCAACGGCGCCACCACCCAGTCAAAACCCTGCAGGGGGTTGTCAACAATGGGAAGCCCCTTCTGAACTTTGTAAGAAACACAAAGGATCAAGGGAATCCCATCCCCTGGGAAGGAGGGGCAGGACGGCTAACACAGCTCCACTGAGAAAGTTCTGGTGAAGCTCAGGTTGGAAAGATGCGCAAACAGATCGGAACAGCCCTTTTCTCATCGCACGAGCCCACAGATCAGCTTCCGAGGGGGCGACCGCTGCGCACTGACCCCACTAGAGCCAACGCGGGCGCGGGCACCGCCCGGCACCACACAGGTCAGAGCCTGAAACTATAAAACGTCCACAAGAAGCCACGAGAGAAAGCCTGAGTCAGGAAGAGACGTCCTAGATGTGACGTGAAAAACACAGCCCGGGAAAGAACAAGTGGGCACAATGAGTTCATCAAGGTGTGCGGCACCTGCTGAGAGGGAAAGACAAGCCTGCCAGCCACACCCTGAGACGCAAGGCCAGGGGCGGGGGGGGGGGGGGGGGACCCCCAAGCCCAGCAGCCGGAGAAGCCGAAACAGGCGAAGATCTGAGCAGACACCAGCACAGAGGGCTCCCCCCCGACCAGGACGCGGCTACACCCCCCACATCCCCGACATCACGGCCACGGCAGCGGTGAGGGCAGACTGCAGGGGGCTGCACACGGGGTGCCAAGGGGGCGCTGGGAACGTGCAGATGGCATCAGCAGGAATGTAAATGGCACGATCACTTTGGACAACAGTCGACAGTGTTTTTAAAATTTAATACTGTCCAACCACGTGACCCAGCCAGTCCAGCCCTGGCCTTTGCCCAGGAGAAAAGGGGAGACGCCCACGGAAGACGTGTACGGAGGCGCTCACTGCAGCTCCAGCCGGGACAGCCTCCACGCGAAACAGCCCCCGCGTGGCCCAGTGAGCAGAGAAGCTCGGTGCCACCCCGTGCGCCAGACAAGGTGCTGGACCAAGAAGCCGGCGCAGAGGGCACACGCGGCAGAGTCCATGGAAAATTCTGGAAAGTGCCACCTATGCTGGGTTGGAGCCTTGGGGCCGGGCAGAGGGGAGGAGGGCTGGGGAAGCTCTCGGGGGTGGGGGTTGTGTCTTGACTATGGTGATGGCTCTGTGGAGGCCAACAGGACTCCAACTGGCACGTTCCACGTGCGTTTCACCAGATGCGCTCACATCCGGGCTGTTCACAGAAAGAGGAGAGACCACGCTGAGCTCTCCCGGAGCTGCGTCTGCGCTTCCCCCGGCAGGAGAGCTGGCGGCTGCTGCCGGCCCCGCGAGGAGTGGCCCACCTGCCCAGGACCCACCTGCCCAGGACCATGTGGAACTGAGTCCGGCCACAACCCTCTTGGAGGGCTGGGTTCACTCTGCCTTCGTGGGAAAGCAGTGAGCAAAACCCTACAGCAAAATGTTTAGAACAAAGACCCTTTTCTCACCGTGATGCCCAGCCCGGCTCACTGAGCGCCTGTGCCACTGCTCAGGGTCCATGGTCCAGGGCCACTACCTGGGGGAGCACACGGGCACCTTGCACTGTCACCTTTACTTCCAACCTGTGCAAACCCCGAATCCCACAGGCCCAGAGTGCAGGCTGCAAGGGGCCCCGAGGGCGGGTGGAGATGCCCCGGCCGTCCGTGTCCATGGCCCTGGCCTGTGCCTGCCCTGCCGCGTACCTGTCGTTGAGAAGGTTGTCCTCGAAGACCTGCAGGAGGGTCCCACTGAAGCTCTCCAGGGCCTGCGGGTCGTTCTGAATGCCCTTCATGTGCGCGAACAGGCTCTGGGTGGAGTGCCTGACCTGCAACACAGGGACCGTCCTCGTCCTCGTCCTAATCCTGTCGTGAGACCGCCCCCTTGCCACCACCTGCCCCTGGGTCAATTGCAGCGGCACACAGAGTGCCCGGTGGCAGAGGAGGCTGAGCCCCAGAGGGTAGGGCCCTTGCGGACGCCCGGCCAGACCAGCATGAGCCGGACCACAGCAAACGCCTGACACGGAAACGCTCCCTCCAGGTGGCAGCACCGCCTGAACCCCCACACGCTATCACTCAATGGATAGCCACAGTGGGGTGGTCAGGGGCTCCCTGGGAAACAGGGCAGGAGGCCAGAGCGGGGCCTGCAGACTAGAGGAAGGGAGTGACCCCTGCAGAGGAGCCACGCCAAGGCGGCAAGACTGGGAGCAGCAGGCAGCCAGGGGTCTGAGACTGGACGCCAGCAGCCACCAGCTGACAAGGAAGCTGAGAGACTGACGTTGGGGACGGCAGCTCTGACCAGCCCTGCCGCATGCCCAGTGGCCCGGGGGCCAGCCACAGCTGGTGTCTGGAGGCAGCTTCCCTCGATCACCAAACGGAGAGGGTGAGTCCCGGGAATGAGTCAGCAGAAGCAGAGAACAGACCTAGACATGCCCCACCCTGTGGGCACCACTTTTAGGACAGAATATAGGAGAATGCTATGTACTGATTTTTAAAGACAAAAGCACAATTATAAAGATGAACCTATGATGAACAAGCATGAGAAACAGATTTCAGAACAAAGTGAATGACTGGTAACAAAAAATACAATCGGTGAAACCAAAATCTCACAGGGGAGACAAGCGCAGCCGACAGAAAGCTGCGAGGGAGGCAGACCCGGCGAGGACGCGGGCACAGCAGAGAACAGACGTGAAGGAAGTGGGAGAGCAGGGGCAGGCAGGGGAGAAGACGGGCTGAGACTGTCCCCAAAGTGCCAAGAACCCTGGAACCAACAATTCACAAAACAATGCATTCCCACCGGACCCATCACAGTGGAACCGAACCCCAGGTGTCACGTCCAGAGAGAGCAGTGCCCACTGCAGCGGCGGAAGTGCGGACAGGCACATGGACCACAAGGACGGGGACGAGAGGGGCTCCGCAGGTCAAACCGACCCTTTTCTAAAATATACTAGTGTGTGTGTGTGTGTGTGTGTGTGTGTATTGATGTCAGAGAGGAAGGGAGAGGGAGAGAGAGAGAGAAACATCCATGATGAGAGAGAATCATCGATAGGCTGCCTCCTGCACGCCCCACACTGGGAATCAAGCCCACAACCCGGGCCTGTGCCCTGACCTGGAATTGAACTGTGAGACCTCCTGGTTCCTAGGCCGACCACTGAGCCACGCCCACCAGGCTAAGCCGACACCTTTTGAGGGTCAGGGAGTGTGTGAGCACCACACCAGCGGAAACATGACAACAGAAACTGGAAACACGGCCTCCCCGGGAAACACCACGCACAGAAGAAAAGGAACCCAGAGCACCAGGGCCAGTCGGCCGTGGGCAAGTGGTGGCAAATGTGGCAGCACAGGGCGGGGACCGGACCAGAGCACGATGGCGGCTGAACTGCGCGCCGGGAACAGGAATTCGCCACAATGTCCCGGCTCCTGAGCTCCCCTCCTCAGAGGTGGGGTTCCCCAAGCCGCCCTGGGGACCCTGCCCTGGGAGCCTGAGGCCAGGAAAGGAGCTGTGCCGGTGACGCGGTTTCCCCAGGGCAGCCCCGGCAGCGCACGTCCCAACGCCACGGAGACGTGCTGCCCCAGCTCCAGGACAAACGCCCACCCAAAGCCGCTCGATTGGGAAAGAGGCCGGGCCAGACGCATGCTCACCGTGGACTCTGTGAGGCCACCCACGGACACGGCCAGCCCCAGCAGCACATGGTAGCGGTAGGCAGGCAGCCCCAGCAGCTGGGTGATGCGAGGGAAGGCCTGGGATGGTGCGGTCCAGTTGACAGAGGCGGCCTCAGACCTGCAAGAGAGCCACAAGCTGGAGGGGCCTGGCCTGCCGCCCACTGCGATCCGGCACCCGGACCCTCCGTACCTGGGGAAGAGTTGTTCCAGTTCTGCCCGGTGGGGCACGTGGGGGACGGTGGGGCCGGCTGAGCCGGCCGCGTGCAGCAGCGTCATGAACACGTGGGCGGCGTGTGCACGGAAGTGGTCTATCTTCTCGCTGGCCTGCTGGGCCAGGCAGCACATGACCCGCTGGCAGCTGCAAACCAAGAGCCCAACGGTAGCACAGCTCCAACCCGAGGGCGCCCGCGACACGGCTGCAGGTCAGCACGGGCCTGGCTCCCTGCCCACACGGCAGGGCCCCCACCACAGCTGAGCTGCCCCCAGGAGCCTAAATGCCCGGTGGGCAGCAGGTGGGGATGGGGCACAGGGAAGGAGGCAGAAAAGACAGGGACAAGAAGGGGGCACAAAGGAAAAGGGCAGGAGGAGGAAGGGAAGGGCGGGGCGAGGGCAGGTGGGGCTCGGGAAACGTGATTTCCACAGACGCAGCAGCCCTGCAGAGGGCATGGAGACGCCGCAAGTGAGGTGCCCAGGGGCAGCCCATGTCCCGGGAACTGACAGGAGAGGGGACAGCCAGGCCCCCAGCTAAACAGGCACTTAGGTGCAAGGGCCCAAAGCCTGAGGAGTGGCCCCTGCCCTGGCCTCGCCCAGGAATGGCTGTCCCCCTTGCCGGCCTGAACCCCGACGGAGGGGGAGACCTGGGCCTGAGCCGCGGGGTCAGGAGACGGGGGCAGGACAGACCCTCTCCAGGCACAGGTGGGTGCACCCCAACACTCACGTGGGAGCCTCGATCAGCTCTGGCTGGTCCCTCCCCAGTAGAAGTGTCAGGTCCATCAGACTGGTCATGGCGGCCTCGCGGACCCTGAGGGACAAGGAGGGACGGGGCGGGGGGGTGAGGAGACCGCTCCCGAGCTTGAGGTGCCCGTCAGCCACGTGCGGGAAGGGGACTCGGAGGCCTCAGCCGGAAGCCCCTACGAGCAGCCCTCCTCCGAGAGCGCTTCCTCCACGACAGGCGGACGAGGACGTGCCCGCAGCCAGCGGGTCCCAGCCAGCGGGCAGGTGCTCGCAGAAACAGCACTGGTTTTCCAAGAACTTTTAATGCCAAACACGCCCGCCCCGCAAAGCTCTGTCCCAGCAGAACCTCGAGGGCCTGGCCTGCCCTCCCTGGGAGAACACGCAGAGCGGCGCCTTCCCGCTGCCCCGGGGCCCCCAGACCAGGACGCTCTGTCCACGCAGAACACACTGTCCACAGCAGCTCCCGGGAAAGGAGACAAACTGATACAACTTGCAAAGCTGCGCTCACACTAGGACTGGCCTAACGCCACAAAGTACATTTTTAACTTGGGACAATGTGCACTCAACCCAGGTAGCACACCGCTGGGCCCACAGGCCTGGGGCACCCACCCTCCCACCAGGAGTGAATGGGGCCCATCGGGGAGGCAGCCTGTGCTGCTCAGAGTGAAGAGGGGGGCAGGGTGTGGGCCTCAGCCCAGGGGAGGCCTCAGGAGAGTGAGGTGCTGAGGGCAGGCACAGCGTGCTCAGAGGTGCAAGGCGGACGCAGGCCAGAGGCTGACAGGAACGAGTGGCTCAGATGCCAGGGCATAGCCACCGGCAAACCGCTACCCAGGACACATGACCTCTGGAGGCGCCAAGGAGCAGGCAGAGTGTGGGAGCAGGGAAGACCCCCCATCTCTGTGGGCGCAGCACTCACAGGGAAAGGCTGGGGGAGGGCCACGGGGACCCAAACCTGCACACACCCGCAGGGCCCTCGCCAGCTCCTAACTGGTCAAGCACAGGTGAGGGTCCGAGGTCCTGAAGTCAGCAGCTGGGGGACGTGTGAGCAGGAGGAAGGCCCTGGGGTCTGAGGCCCCTCAGCCAGGGCTGCAGACACAGGCCACGCCCTGGGGTGTAGGCAGGAGTAAGGGCCAGCCCAGCCGCTGCTGAGAGCACTCGGCGACCTGACCCCCCACGTGGGCCTCACGTAAGGAAACCTACCACCTGCTCAAAGGAAATTACACAACCCAAAGCCTCTACAGTTCTGAACTCACAATCTCTGGATTTAGTTAAAAATTAAAAGGAATGTTAAAAAACAAAAAAAGACCGCCCAGCTAGTGTGACTCAGTGGTTGAGCATCGACCTATGAACCAGGAAGTCACAAGTTCGATCCCCGGTCAGGGCACAGGCCCGGGTTGCAGGCTCAATCCCCAGTGTGGGGCGTGCAGGAGGCAGCCAATCAGTGATTCTCTCATCATGGACGTTCCTCTTTCTCTCTTCCTTTCCCTTCCCCTCTGAAATCAATAAAAATATATTTTAAAAAAGGAAGACCAAGTGCTAAAGTGATGAGAGACGACAACAGGAACAGACCCAGGTGCCAGGTGCTGGTGTGATGGGTCGAGTCCTTAAAATAACCACGAGGAACACGTTGAAGAGAAAAACGTGGAAACAATGACTTTCTGCAAAGAATGAGAATCTCTGAAGACGGACCAAGCACTACAGAACTCAGACCCACGCTCTGAAACAACACCTTCAGGGGGACTGTGCTCTGGCCCGAGGTCCTCCTGTCACCCACACGCCCGGCATGCCTGGGCTCTGGCACGGACGGGACCCTGGGAGGACCCTGGAGGGGAGCCTTCCTCCCTTCTTCACTGTGTGCGCTGAAGGCAACCACAGCAGCAGCTGGAAGGCCAGGGAAAGCCCACCACCCTCCTGGACGGGTGCGCAGGCCGCCTCACCACGCGCCCACGTCCCCGCGGCTGTCGGTGGTGTAGTCGCGCAGACAGTCCAGCAGCGTGCTATAAATCTGGGACACGTTCCCTTTGCACACGACCTCATCCGGGGTCCCTTCTGCTCTCACACCGACAGTTTGGCAAATCCTGGAATTAGAAACAGCTCATGTCCGCCCGTCCCTCCAGCCCGATGGGCTTCTCCTCACAGGTCACGCTCAGAGCAGACTGGCACCTCCGAGGGAGGCTCCGACGCCCAGCGTCCTTCCCGCTATCGCCACCTCTTCTCCGAATCACACTCTCTCGTGTCTACAGCTTAGAAGGCGAGTTGTGCCTGGGCCTTCCCGCCCTCTCTCTGGGCAGAAAGGGGACAGTGTGCCATCAGGGCCTGGACAGCATGTGGGCTCCACACAGCTGGGGGGGGGGGGCAGACAGCGCATCCTACATGTATGCGTTTGTGACTGAGCACCAGACACCACGCGCACTGTCCTGCCCTCGTCCTTGGGGTTGCCCATCTTTAAAGTGGTCCCGTGTCCTAAAGGGATGGAGCGAGCACACCATGGGCTCGATGTTTCCTAGAATTAGGACAGAGCTGTTAACAGGCCTGAGTTGGAAATGTTCTTCCCAATCCTTCAAATAGAGAAGAAACTAGAAAACAAAGAACAGCGTTTGCCCCTAAGCAGATTCGTCACTGAGCATGGGCTCCAGAGGACCAGCTGTGAACCACCCCTTGGACTCGGGAGGACGGAGACCCACCTGGCGATGGCCTTCACGGCATCCCGCCGGGACTCCGCGAAGCTCACGTCCTCCGAGGAGAGGGTGACGGCTCTTAACCCCGCGAGAACCTGAAAGGCAGTGGCCAGTCACCCCCACGAGACCCACGTTCTTTCCCGCAAGTGGAGGCTCAGCCCTGGTGCTGCGCCCGAGCGAGTGCAAGTGCCTGCCCGTCCTGGCCGGGACCCCGCACTGTCCCGTGATCAGGCAGCAGCTCAGCTGCCAGTCAGGTGTTGTCTGTGGATCCTCCCCAGGGAGAGATTTCAAGTCCGCCTGGGGGTGGACCCGAGAGACACCGGGCAGGGACGTGTGCCGCCCGGCCCCCCGCATGTGTATGGTCTCACACGCGCCATCGTCTCGCACGGACCCCCTTCCACGCTCAGCTCAGCCTCACCTGCTGGAGCCTGCCTCTCAGCAGGAAGCCTGGGAGGGCGCCCAAGGCCATGGCGAAGCCGCAGCGCGTCATCTCCTCCGGGCTCTGCAGTTCGGCGAGATACTTCTCTGCCAGCCCCTCTGAAAAGAGGCCACAGGGTGACCCACTGCGCCCAGGGTTCCCTTACCTGCTCTTCACAGGCGTTTCAGAAGCAGGAGCCAGATGGCGTCCAAAGAGAGAAGGGAGGAAGGACTCAGGCTTCAGGAGCAGATGTGGTTTCAAAGTGGAATCAATCAAGAGATTTATAGAGATTTTATTGGGTGGTTTTAAGGTTTTCATGAGCAATCCCAACAAATGATTTCACTCAGAAAAATAAATCCAAGAGGGCGTTGAGAATGGCCCACAGTCGTAACTCTCATTGTTTACTCAGAACACAAATGCTCACTGTGGAGACAACGACTGCCTCCCATGAGGGCAAACGCCCTGGCAGGTGGCTCCGTCGGCTGGAGCATCGTCCCATACACCAGCAGGTGGCGGGTTGATGCCCAGTCAGGGCACATGCCCGGGTTGCGGGCTCGACCCCCAGGAGGGGCATGCAGAAGGCAGCCAATTGATGATTCTCTCTCATCACTGATGTTTCTATCTTTCTCTCCCTCTCCCTTCCTCTCTAAAATCAATAAAAATGTATTTAAAAAATAAAATAAAGTTCCATTTGTTCATACACTACACTGGCACCTATGGTGGAACTTAGAGAAGACACCAGAAACAACCTGAAAAAACCCACCTCCCTTCCCCCTTACAATTCACATGCGTTTCCAAGGTTCACTTCTGAGTATTATTTCTTTCTGTATTCAGAATGGTGTGATGTGGTTCACTGTTCTTAGGCAAAAAGCAAAACGTGATCTTATCCCAATTTTAAAAATAGACTAAACACAAAACATTACTGTCTCTAAGTTAAACTGCCCGTGGAAAGGAGATCGAGTAAAACACTATTAACTGGGAAAGTCTGACTCATGTTCACATTCAACAACCTAAAACAGCGTTTCCCGTGCACGTGAGGGGCTGCACTGCACACCCCGCGGAGCAGCAGGGCAGCCACAGGCAACATGGCATGTGAGCACGGAGCTTCCTGATAAAAGCAACACTCGTGAGCGGATCCCAGGAACGGCCTCAGCGAGGGGTCAGGGGCGCTGCAGCGTGGAGGGTTCTGGGAAACTCGCCGGGGCCGGGCTGTGCGGCGAGGCGGCGGCGCGCTCGCTGTCCCCATGAAGAGGAAGGACACGCGCTGGGAACATGCTGCCGTGGTGCACAGAACATTCTAAGAACACATTTTACCACAAAATACAAAAGCCAGTGACGTAATCGTGCCTGTGGACGGAGCCCCAGGAGAAAGCACGGAGCCAGCAGGACGTGCAAGCAGACGCTCAGAGTGCAGAGCCAGGAAGGGGCATCCGAGCCAACTCACAGCGACAGCGAGAACGAAGGCGATGAAGAACCCAACAGAAGGGAAAGGCAGCTCCCTACACAGAAGTGCAGCCTCCAGAGCTCAAAGCAGGAAGAGCTCCCATAAAGTGTGACGTGAGCAGATGCTGCTGAGACAAGAGCTGACTCCATACGCTAAACAGGGACGTTCGCACGGAAAGCCGGCACCGAGACGGCGGAGCAGGAGCCAGCCAGCCTCTCCTGCACAGCCTGCCAGCCTGGGGCGGGAGAGCGGGCAGGCCCAGGAGGCGCCAGCGCCCACCCGTCCCTGCTAACCGGCGCGCGCACGCTGCGGTGGAGGAAGGGAGCTGAAACCAAAACCCAGACCCCGCGCTCCCCACCACGCCCCGGAGGGCCCGAGGGTCAGCACGGCAGCCACTCACCCTGCCCGGCGGAGTCCGCCTTCCCGGGCTCCTCCGTGTAGTACTCGCTGCAGAGAGCAGCCAGGGCGGAGGCAGCTGCTTCCTAGAACAGAGCAGGACACAGCCCCTCAGCCTCCCGGGAACCACGGGGGCGGCCAGGCTGCTCCGCCTCAGACACAGAAATAAACTACATCCTTCCTTCCAGCGCGACTGCGTGCGTCATCTGCCAGGTAGTTAAAACTTTAACATTTTTTGCAAATAATAACCTGAAGAGAAAACTTGATTATTTCTTCCAAACAATGCAAACTCCATGTCTTATCATATGAGCAGCTAATAACAGAATGGGCACTTCTCTTTCCCAGCAGAGGTGATGAAGGAAAAGGTGTGTGCAACATGGGCAAGAGCTCTGAGCAGGCTGTGCAGGGCCTTTTTAGAGAGGACTTGGGGGCCCAGGGGCCTGGGAACAGGAAGGGCCCTCAGCACCGATCCCCAGGCAGAGCCACACGGAGGGGGAGGGGGAAAGAGGGAGTGGGGAGAGCAGGGGGGCAACAGGGACTCCAGGTCCTCTCCTGAACTCCTGGCTACAGAGGGACCTGCAAAGAGCCAACACTAGATTCCTCCTCTCCACTCGCCAGATCGGGAGCAAGGCCACAGAGCTGCCAGGAAAGAGCTGCTGGGGCCCGGCAGGAGGGCCATGAGTGCGGGGAGGGAGCTCAGAACGAGGTGTCACTGGTACCAATCGGGGCAGCAGGCTGCTCCGGGATCACTGCTTGTATGAATGTTATGGATGTTTTAAAAGGAAAGTTTGCAGCACTGATCCTGATGCGCTCAAATTCAACTGGTAAAACGGTGCTTCAATCCTACAGAATGGCAAAGTTACCCTTAAAAAGGGCTGACGAAGCCTTCTCTAACCCAGCAGAAATGCGGAGACACACAGGAGAGAATTACACCCTCATTTCTCCGTCCTCAGTATGAAGCCGAGTTCCTCCCAATGTCCTGGTGATGGTCAGTGCGGGGAAAGGACAGCTCTGCACCCCACACCCAACTGGCCCCGAGGGGCAGCCGTGGCCCTCAGCCACCGGGACGCACACTCCTGCAGAAATGCCAACTTGGCATGCGCAGTGGGACTGGCATCGCACACGCAGCTTCCACCCCTAAAGCCCTGCAGCGCCACAGAGTCACTATGGATGTGCAGGAGAAGCGCTAGGCGAACAGGAGCAAACCAGAAGCAGGAACTTAAAAGTCGCACGTTCTGGTCACCAGTAGCTGAGTTCGTCTTCCTGATTACATGTTCCATAGACAACGCCATCCAGACAAAATCCAAACATCGTGGCACGTTCAGTTACCCATTAGTGCATCAAAGGGACCATAATGCAGTCTTTGAAACAAACACTAAAAAAGTAATGTCGTTCTCGGTACAGAGCAGCCACTGGGAAACCCTGCTCCCCGCACCTTGATCTGTTGCCTGGAATGACTGGACACATGGTGGAGGTTTCTCAAGGTGTCGCTTATCAGCCACTGCCAACCATCTGTCACAGAAACAGAGAAGACCATTACTTCCCTAATGAAGAACAGTTCGGTGAAATTAAAGTCAACAACAAACAGATCTTCTACCTCTTAAATCAACATAGATGGTAAACAAGAGGTGAGTCTGGAGAAAATCTAAAGTGAACTTTCTCCAGGTTGTACAAATTCCAAAGGCCCTTGGTTTAAAGGGGAAAGGTCTCCTTTTTGCTGCTGAAATGCTAAAACTCTTACCATGGGAAAATTTTGTTTTGTTTTGTTCTGTGGATCCTCACCCGAGGATATTTTTTCCAACGATTTTTAGAGAGAGTAGAAAGGAGGGGGAGAGACAGAGAGAAATATCGATGTGAGAGAGACACATCGACTGGTTGCCTCCTGCACGCACCCGACCAGGGTGGAGGAGTACGTGCCCTTTGACAGGAATCAAACCCAGGACCCTGCAGTCTGAGGGCTGACACTCTATCCACTGAGCCAAACCTGGAAAACTTTTGTTCTTTTATTATACCTACCAACTTCAGGTGGTCTTCTCCTGTACCTCTTCCTCAAACAACCCCCGCCAATCAAAACCCAAACATTCCACTCAATTAGATCCACCATCTGGCAACAAATGCTGACCCTACACAGCTCTCCTGAGGCTGCCGAACCAAGGCAGCCGCGGGGCAGCCCTCCTCCTGCCTCTCGCGGCTGCCTGTTCACACACCAGAAAAGGTCCTGCTTGCTGGACAGGACGGCTGCCCTGGGCACAGGACCTACACAGGGGCCTGGCCGCTGCCCCCACGAGAGCAGGTTCTCCCACATCCTGCCCCAGTGGCCTTGGCACCTGCTGCTACCTCCCCTGGTCCTGCGCCACACCAGGGCTCTGAGGAAGGAGCATGTCTCAGAGAAGGGAAGGACTGTTTTTGAGGGTGTGTGGCTGATGCCCATCATTTACAATTGGCTCTGGCAGCAGTTTCAAAGCCAGGAGTTCCACCACCAGGAAGTGACCACTGTCCTACCAGGCTCATCGCCACTTTCCACGCGAGCGGTCCTGAAAGAAAAGGCCACAGGCGAGCACTGAAGAAAAGCACTTACCGATCACGGCGTCACCCCTGAAGGGCATCTTGGAGAGGGACAGGTTTTCTATTAAAACGCACACTAGGAGGAGAAAGGGTGGATGCATGAGGGCACGTCTGTCCCATCAGGACGATGAGCCCCACTGCCCGCCCGCCCGCCTGCTCCTGGGTGATGGGCTTTCCAGGACCTGAGCCCAGGGCATGGCCAGAACTGACCTGGCACCTACTCAGCCCACCAGAGAAGCGGATGAGTCTGGGTCTTCTAGGTTTACTTAAAAATGCATCAGAAAATGTAGGCATGTTGGCATCATTTGAGTTCCTTGCAGAGTTTAAACATAATCTAAAAAGTTATTCCTTGCTCTACAGTTAACTTAAATGTTGCTGAAGAGGCTAAGATAGCAACACTCGGTCCCACACCACCATCCCTTCCTGAAAGACACACCATGCCCCTCTCTCCCGCCCCATCCTGGCCGCTGCCATTGGGAAGCCCTGGTCCCCGCACCTCGATCTGTTGTCTGGAATGACTGGGCACATGGTGGAGTCAAGTGAACCCTGGCAGCGGGCCAGGCCCGGGGCCCAGGGAAGGGCACGCTCACGCCACAGTATTGAGAGCGGCAAACGCCCTTCGGACTTTCCCCAACCCATGGCGGGGATGAGAGGGTGCAACCCACAACCCGCAGCCTCCCGTGCTCAGACCTACCTGCTTGTCGCATGAGCTCTCCTCCGAGACCCCTGAAAATTAATACAAAAAGGGTTAAAGTACCTTATTATATAAAACAACATAAAATATCCTCTCCAAGTAACAGGTACCACTTCAGGCTCCAAACATTATTAAGATGTCACCTAGCAGCATCTGTCAGGGCACGGAGGAGCTACTTGGGGGCGAGAGCACTTACAAAGGTTTTCATGTGCCAGCAACTGCTCAATGCTCACATACCTTATTTCAATTACTTTTTATATAAAACCTTCTTCATTGAGTAGGTTTTCTGTAAATCTCGTCCTTGTATTGTTTGGCAAGACCTACACTGAAGAGTGATTTTCTTTTTTTCTAACTGAACTTTTTCCACTTACAGTTGATATTCAGTATCACTGTGTATCACTTGTAAGAAGCTACCTTTTTACAGGAAGAAATGAAAAGATTCCTGGAACCATCTCCCAGATGTCCCAAGTCCTAGCTGGGGTTCCTCTGACTTGTCGTTTTCACTGGACACTATAGTCCTTACTGGCGTCAATTACATCAAACAATCACACAGAACAAATCCCAAACACTGTTCAACTCTCACTTTGTAAAAACTAGAGGAATTTAATGCCTGACCAGTTTGGTCCCGGGTTTGATTCCAGTCAAGGGCATGTACCTTGGTTGCAGGTTCCATCCCCAGTCCCTGGGCGGGGGTGCGTGTGGGAAGCAACCAATCGATGTATCTCTCTTACATCGATGTTTCTCTCTCTGTCTCTTCCCCTTCCTTCCACTCTCTCTAAAAACACCCTCGGGTGAGGATCAACAAACAAACAAGCAAGGACAGGAATCTAAGACGCCAGGAAGATGCCGTCATCCAGCCCAGGAAGCATCAACCTGCCTTCCGTTGCGAACAAAACCCAAGAGGAGAGCCTGCCTATCTTGCCGGCTCTCAGTCACATCAAATCGATGTCTAATGCTGACAACAGGAAACTGGTGAACACGAACGTAAGAAACACTCGCGAAGACAGGACATCGTTTCACCAGACTTTGGCTTCTGGCCCAGACAGAGAAGGGGACCCAGATTTGCTCTCTGCCTTAAATATCAGAGACGTGGATGGAGCAGATGAAACGGTTTCAGAGGCTGGAAAACGGAGGTCTGGGCAGAGGAACACCGGGCACAGGTGGAATACCCAGCTCAGCGAGTGCAGCGCCAGCTCGGGGGCGGGGGGGGGGGGGGGCGGTCCAGTGTGAGCAGAAAGGGTCCCCGTCCTACACCTGCAAGCTCAGGGGCAGCCTCACCAGCTCAGGGACCAAAGGTTACCGCACAGAACGGTCTGAACAGCCCGTCCTCACCAACAGCGGGTCACGGCGGGGTCACGTCCTGGGCCTGCAGCTTCCCTGACAAAGGTCAGCCTTCACCTCAAGTGAGCCTACGGCCTTTGTGCATCTGCGATAACAAACCTCTGGAACGTCAGAGGAAGCTCCGTTTCAGAGCCCGCAGGGCCCTCCCAGAGCACGAGACTGCAGAACCCCTCGCTGCCGCACAGCATCTCCCTGTGCTGTAAAGGGCACCGACTACCCGGGACCTGCCGCTGGTGTGAAGGAATGTGTCTTGCCGTTCTACTCTTATCCAGCTCCCGAGATTTCCCCGCTCGGCTCTCTCCCGTCCCCCTGATTTACCAGTGGATTTCATGTGACCCTACTTTCATCTCCTCCTTTGATTCTAATGTTTCCAATAAGCTGCTAAACTACCTTTCTCCAGAGCATTTTCTCAATCTGTTGAGATTTTGCTTCCCAGAAACTGTCATCAGTTTGGCTCCAATAAACTCATAAAAATTCTCTACAGGTTTGGACATTCCTGATGTCGACACCCGCATGGGGAGGGGCCCTGTCTGACCCCTGCACAGGCCCAGGCTCTCAGGAAAGCTGGAGGTGGTAAGAGATGTCAAGAACAAACAGAGAGGCTGACGTGCACAACCCTGCACCGAAGGGTTGCAGGTTCAATCCCTGGCCCTTCTCAGGGCACGTGTGGGGGGCAATCAATCTATGTGTCTCTCTCATATCCCCCCCACCCCCCGCGCTCTCTCTCTTCCTCTTCCCTCCCCCTCCCTTCGCGCTTTCTGAAAATCAATGGAGAAAATACCCTTGAGTGAGGGTTAACGACAACAACTACAAAAGCCACTAAGAATGCCCTGGCTGGTGTGGCTCAGCTGGGCATCGTTCCATGCACTGAAAGGTTGCTGGTTCAACTCCACTCAGGGCACATGCCTGGATTGTGGGCTCGATCCCTGGTAGGCGTGCAGGAGGCAGCCAATTGATGTTTCACTCTCACATCGATGTTTCTCACTCTCTCCCTCTCCCTTCCTCTTTCTCTGTTAAAAAAAAAATCAATAAAATTAAAGTCACTAAGAAAAATGAATAGGCAAACCACAGACAGGGAGAAAATGCTAGGAAATCTTCTATGTCTACAAAGAGCTCATATCCAGAATATGTAAAGACGCTGACGGCTCAGTAAGAAGAAGACAGATCATGAGATTATTTTAATGAGCAAAAGACCTAAGAGTCTCTTCTCAGAAGACAGAGGAGACGTGAAGGCGCCTGGTCACTGGGAAACACACGCCCCACGGGGCTGGCTCGTCAAGGAAGCCCAGCCAATGAGGATGCGGAGCAGCTCTCGGCCGGTAGGAGGAACGTGTCACAGCCGCTTCCGGGAGGCCTCCGTGTCTTAGAAGCAGAGAGGACCAGCCCAGACGCCCATGACCTGAGAGCAGGTGAGCACACAGCACCGAGGACCACGCAGCAGCCCACGGGAATGCCTGCACAGGGGCCACCACACGTCAGAGACACTGCCCCGAGGAAACCAGACCAGAGACTTTGCAGAACAAGTGGGTCTACGCAGAGATCAGAAAAGACGGCCCTGGTGCTAGAGAGCAGACTGCAGGCTGCAGACGGGAGGAGGAGGGCGTGTCAGGCGACATGCTGCCTTACTGGGGCCACAATCACACGCACCTCTGGGCCCCCAAACCCGTCAGATTCCACACTTCAACCAGCAAGCGTCACGTCAACCTCCACACGCTTAGAAGACCAGTAGGTTAGACCTTCCAGTTCTTAACGGGAAATGACTGTGACACACACTCAAATCAACGAGCACAGAAGAGACCCCGCAGGGCAGCCGGACAGGAGTCCACTCAGCACTGAGGTGACCCCGCAGGGCAGCTGGACAGGACCCCACTCAGCGCTGAGGTGACCCCGCAGGGCGGCTGGACAGGACCCCACTCAGCTGAGGGGTTAGCAGACCAAGCAGTGCGCTTAGTAAGACAAAACATAAGAATCTCGGGTTCGTAGAGCTTACCTGTATAACTGACGATCATAAAGCTAAAATTAAAAACAGAAAGTTCTTCAGTTAGATAGGTTTCTTGGGTTTTGAAAGTAGGTAAGTCATATTAACAGTGAGAAAGCAGGGACGGATCCTGCTTCACTCTCTGCAAGCACCTCCCTCAGCCTCCTGCTCCTTCTCTCCTTTAATCCTCACGACAGCCTCACTTAGGAGGGAATCCAAGGCACGAAGAGGGTGGCCAGACGTGAGGGGTCCAGGACTGACCGAGCCGTGACCATCCCCCAGACGGCCGCTTGGGCAGAAAACAAAGACCGCCAACCAGGGAGCCTGAGGCTCTTTCTTCCAAAGCCCTGGAAGCACCTCCCAGCATCGCCACCTCGGCTACAGGGACTGTGCTCACACGGTCCTTTAACCCCAGAACTGCAGGGAGGAGGGCCCACCCACACTCTGCAGAACGAGGGGGCGCGTGGCCCCCGTCTGAGTCTCTGCTCTCAGGCGCTCACGCTGTCCTGACAGCGGGAGGGAAACAGACCAGGCTCCTTGTAGAGTGACAAGTGTAAGTAAAAAGACCAATGGCTTCGCCAAATCACACAGCAGGTTCATGGCACAAACAGATAAGAGGCTAAGACCCAATGTGCATTATTACATAAAAATACGAAAGTCGAACGAGGACAACGAACAGTGAAGCCATCTAAAGCCGCATCCTGACTCGGAGGGTGTCCTATAACATGGAGACCGCAGCTCCTAGATTCCCTCTTTTGAACCACAGGAGCCTCTGAGAAGCTGAAAACTCAGAAAGCCCACAGCCCTTCTCCGCGGAGAGCGCGTCACACTCGGGCGTAACTGCAGACTCAGGATGCCCACCACGCAGGCACACGGGATCCAGGGCCTTCGTGCTGCCTGGGGTCTGAGAGAACAGGCATGACCCAGACAGGAGGGCGTAGGCCTGTGAGCTGCCTGCACCTGCCAGACTGCCCTCGGGACTTGGCCACACGAGAAGAGATGCTCTTCCTGCCCCCGCGATCCGAGGAGCCGGCCTTCGGAGAGCGGGGAACTGCTCCCCAGCTGACAGCCCAGGTCTGCACCGCCCAGGGCTGAGCCTTGCGGGGAGCTTCCGGTCCTGAGCCCAGCCTTCGAACAGGTTGAGGGTGGAGAGAGCTTGAGATCAGGCGGCCACCCTCAGACCCACAGACCTGCTGGTGAATCTGCTTCAGGCCCTGCACCACCGTCTCATCCAGGTAGTCCGCGACAGGCCTACAGGAGTTCAAACACAGCAGTGAGACCCCGAGCACCACGGGGCCCAGGCTCAGAGAAACCTACACCGTGTCCAGGCGCTTCACCCGCTCCCCCAACACCTGCAGAAGGTAGCCCCCTAAAGCAACACCCACACAAAGGGGTGGCCATAGGGACCCAATCAGTAAAGCCGGGACCCGGATGCAGTTTGCTGACCACAGAGACAGTCCCCCCACGGATGGGGAGCAGCAGGCTCACAGCTGCCCGTGTGACGGTTGGAAAGGAGACTTGACCGGCTGGTGTGGGGCCTGACAGACTGGAGCTCCAGCACAGCCTCACTGCCATCCGAAAGGCTGCTCGAGAGGCTGCCCTTGATTGGGTCCGGAACTTGAGGTTCAGGAGGGTTCCCACCATTCCCCGATGCAGTAGGGTGACTGTGCCCAAACTGTGCAAGCAACATGGCCTCTGCTGGCACCTGGCTGTCTGCTGGGGGTCTGGTGGAGACCACGGGACTAACCCAACAGAAACCTGGGTGCGCCTCTCAGACCCTCCCTGGTGGGTCACACCTGCACCCTCCCAGTCAGAGTTGGGGGGTCAGGCTCCTGTGTGGCTGCCCAGCCCTCAGCCACTTCCCCCGATATGGCCGCCCCTCAGGGAGCGAGCGGGGAGCCGAGCTGGGCGGTAAAAGACTGCCAACCCTCCCAGGCGCTCCGGTCAGGAGAAAGGTGAGCTCCATCTCTCGCTCAGAACCACCTCCTGACGTGACACAACGTCACAGTTTTTCTCAAACTGGAGGCTCAGGACCAGGTTACAGCGTCCTGTGTGCTGGCCCTTGCTTCTGAGGAAAGGGGTTGGAAAGAAAGGAAAGAAAAGCCAAGTGGCTGCTTCCCCGACATTCTCGCGTGCGGATCTGCTCCAGGGCCCGCTGCCTCCTCACTGTTCACGCCCACTTTCCCACCAAGAAGTTCCTGGTGGAAGCTTTTAGCCCTGAGCTCTGGGATCTTAGGGTGCTAAGAGTGACAAACGATGGAGAGTATGGGAGACAGGAACCACTCAACAGCATCTCCGCAAACCCCTTTGCTGTTATAACTGACCCACTTCCCCAGAAAGAGTGAGGTGACCGAGGACACAGCACGGGCAGCCCTCCCTCACGGAAGACCCTGCGTGCCCCCGGGGTCGGGGCCGCCCCGCCCCCAGGAGGAAGAGGACTCGCCGAGGGCACGGAGGCGTTTCCCCGCAGGTGCGCACCGTGAGTAGATGCCACTGCGCACGCGGGGCCTACAGTAGGGGCCACGCAGATGGGACGTGCACTGGGAAACCCAGACGCTCGGGGTCGGGACCTGAGCTCTGCCGTCTGCCTGGACGTAACACTTGGAGCCGCCAGTGGCCCCATCGGGCCACATACTTGCTGGCTCCCGTCACAGGCCATGACTCATCAGAGAGAGGACCACCGACCAGCCTCATCAGGTAAAACGTGAAGACACTGCCCCCAGGCACATGTAACACAAATGCAGTGGACGTGTCCCAGCTCTCGACCACGTGCTTCAGCCGGGGGGGGGGGGGGGGGGGACGGGACGGGGACACTTCTCCTACCTGTCCTCCCGCACAGCCAGTCTGTACAGGCTGTGGGCGACCTCAGCACAGGTGAGCACAGCCCCATGCCGCGTGTGCAGGTCCGTACTCTGCGTCATCGACAGCAGGCGTGGGAAAACTGCAAAGGACGGGCAGGAGAAGACGCCGCGTGGGCACCAGGCTGACGTGCAGACTCAGTGAGTCAGGGAGAGAGGCACCTGCCGACCGTCCGTCAGGACCGTTATCACCCCCAGAGCTTAACCTGAGGCAGCAACAGGCAGGCCCCTGGCACCCAGGCAAGTGAGCAGGACCACGACCGAGGACGCCGCTCACAGCACGTGCTTCCCCGGCTCCCTGGGCACAGGTGGCTGGTGTGGGGCGAGGTCTTTCCTGAGCTAAGTGGCCAGCAGGGCTCTGCCTGGGCAGAGCAGGGCAGGGTCGAGCTGCAGGACCCCCGCTACCCACAGCACTGCTCAGGGCAGAGAAGCCTCTAGGTCTTTTGTGCTCTGGGCACAGAAAGCAGAGCCCCCACCAGCCCCTCAGAGCCTCACGTCCCTGAAGGCACAAGGGCAGCTGTGCGACAGCGTCCAAGCCAAGAGCTCCCACGCGGCAGCGGACAGGCTCAGTGTCTGAGGTCAGGGAACCCGTTATCCCGGCCGTCAGAACTCCTGAACTGGGAACAAACTCTCTGGGAAGGTCATGGTTTCAGGTCCTCCCACAGATCGCCAATGGCAGGTGAGGGAGCACCACGCAAGGTTCCTGTTTAAGGAACAGACCACGAGGCTGAAAGGGCCCTCACAACTAGGGGGATCCCAGAGCGTGTGAAACGCACACACACGTGAAATCAGTAACTAGAGGAAGAACCACGATTCCACCACTACTCCCTCTAACCAATGTCGGTGGGAATAAGTGTAATTTCAAGAAATGTATGTATGGTGCTCACACTGAAATCAGATGCTTATCTATTCCCAGTAGAAAAGACAAGATGGACTCACGGGTTCTCCCCTAATGACAGTGGAGTGGCATGGATCCGGCAGGACAGCCGGGAGTGGGCCCTGCACTCTTGAGAGTCAGTGCGCAGCACGGCAGGCGGCTCCCAAGGACCGAGCACCCAGGAGGCAGTTCGCTTTTTAAAAAGTTGACTACATGGTGAGTCATTTCACTGATTTGTTTTGTTTTTAAAGAAAGCTACGACTGAAGTATGCATGACATACAGGATTCCACCCGTTCCCCGCTGTGACTGGCACCCACACAGGGGCCGCCTGGGGGCTCCCGGTGGACACACCACAGCGACCACAGCAACATCCTTGGGGAGACGGAGGCAATCGATTGTGTTCTGTCCGGTGCTTCTCAGCAGAGAAACACATGACATTCAGCTCCTCCAGCCTTGGAACCAGCAGGGTGGCCCGTCCTCGGCTTTCTGCTACCGTGTGCGCATGCGCGTGTGCGAGTGTGTGCATGTATGTGTGTGTGCACGCGCACACATGAGCGAGGGGGGTACACCCACAGGACGGCTGGAGCTCACTTACCCTGAGCAGCACTGTACTCGGGCGCCTGCTGGACCAGGTTATGCAGCGCCTTTGCTGACAGCTCTCTGATGACCCTGAGGGGCAAGTGGGACAGAAAAATTGTTAGTTCCTTTATTTGATGATTCTAGCTTTATTCAACTCATGAAAAGAGAGATAGTCTCCATGAGTCAACTTGGCCACTGAGTCAAAACCACTATTGAAAATAAACACCCAAACAAATAAGAACCTGACTGTCACAAATGAGGAAGCGAGAATTTACCAAATGAAGCACCGAAATGCAGGCCCATCTCCGGGCACAGCTGCCACCTCCAAGTGCTGGGTGGCAAAGCGCCCCTGCCTCCCACACCCCTTGGACTCGGAAGATGGGAAGAACCCTGAGGGGACCTGAAACTATGAGCTTTTGGAAGAAAACAGAGGAGAAGCTTCATGATGTTAGATTTAGCAATGATTTCTTGGGTGTGACACCAGGCACATCAGCAACAAAAGTAAAAAAATAAATAAATAAAAATAGGTAAGTTGGTAATAGACCAATTGGACTACACTGAAACTTTAAACTACTGATTGTATCAAAGGGAACAAGCAGCAGAGTGAAAAGGCAACATGCGGAGTGGGAGGGAGAAAACACCGGCAAATCTTGCATCTGACAAGGGCCGAAGTCTGGAAGGAGCTCCTGCAGCTCAGCAACCAGTGAGGAACTGCGTTTGGAGACGCTTCTCCAAGATGAACAAAAACAGCCAACAAGCATATGAAAAAATGCTCAACATCAATAACCATCAGTTAAACCACAAAATACCACTTCACACCCACTAAGAGGAAAAAACACAGAAAAAAGGTCCTGGCGTGGATTTGGGGAAATTACAACCTTGTAGATTGCCAGTGGAAATGGAAAACGATGCAGACACTAGGAAAATCAGCATGGTTTTTGAGGTTTCTAAAAAATTAAAAATAGAATTACTATACGATACAGCAATCCTACTTCTGGGTATATGCTCAAAAATACTGAAAAGCAGAGGCTTAAAAAAAATATTTGGACACTCTTGTTCATAGCAGCATGACTCACAACAGACAAGAAATAGAGACAAGTTAAGAGCCAGTCAATGAATAGATGGAAAACGAAAATGTGGTATGTCCAGCCACGGGATGCCACTCGGCCTTAAGGAGGAAGGACATTCTGGCACCTGCTACAGCATGGATGGGCCTCGAGGACACGGGGCCCAGTGAAGGCAGCCAGCCACAAAGGGGCAGACACTGTGTGATTCCATATGAGGCCCTGAGACAGTCAGATGCATCGAGACAAAAAGGAGGATGGCGGGTGCCAGGGCTGGAGGAGGGGAAGGGGGTCACTACTTAATGGGGATGGAGTTTCGGTTTTGCAAGATGAAAAGTCCTGGAGATTGTTTGCACAGCAAGCTGAACGTGCTTAACACTACGGAACTGCACACTGAAAGTGGTAAAGATAACAAGCGGACCACTGCCTCTTTAAAACACACACTATAAAGGGAGACAGAACACCTGCACCGACAAGGGGCTACCTCTCAAGAGTGTTTGTAAAGAACTCTGCAAGGGCCACTCACTGAAATGCCCGAACCTAATGTAACAGTGCAAGTCAGGTGTACTTCAATAACAAATCAATAAGAACAATAAAATATGGCTCACAAAAGAACTCTGTGAGGCTCCCATCACATCAACGCAGAACCCAACACATACCCATCCCAGTGGCTGATCTTCATGGTGAGCAGGTGGTCTATCATTGGCCGTGTGTACTCAGGGAAGCCGGCAATGAACATGCTGAAAAGACAACAGCTGATGAGCACTTAGTTGCTCCCACCTTGTGCACGTGCGCCCCACTCGGCGTAGGGGGTGGAAGGACCACGTCTCTAGAAGACGTAAGAAACTGGAGACAATGGGGGGGCGACCTTGGGATGGAACCGGGAGGCTGAAAAGAGAGGTGAGACAGACGTGAACACTCTCCTGCACCTTCTGAATTTACAAGCACATGTATCGCCTTCCCCCCCAAAATGCACTTTTACACTTCCTGCCTCTAACACAGCCCATCGCTTACACAGATTGTCTGAATCTGCCATGTCACCCCCACACCCCCACACCCCCACCGTGGACTTGGTCATCACCCACGTGCGACAATGCAGCTGAAAGACAAGTAAACGGCACAGAACACCAAGGGGAACACGATTTCACACGGATCCTTTGTGGGCACATGTGTGTGCATCCCGGGATGAACAGGAGTGGCAGGCGGGCATGCTTGTGCCCGGGTGCGAGGTCAAGGAGAGTGTGCCCAGATTGAGAGAAAGGAATGCAGAGGCTGCTTCTGAAGTGGGTGGGCTGAGAGCCCCTCGAACGGGGATGAAACAGCTTGAGAGTCAGAAGGAAAAACAGAAACATCAGGCAGAAGACCAGCTGCCGGAAACAGAGCTGAGCCTTGACCCCTAGTCCTACAGCACCTAAGGGCCACTGGCGCCATCGACAGACAGGCTCGACCCAGGCCAGTGTCCAGGAGCTGGTGGGATTCCGGAAACACAGGCAGAGGAATGACCTCTGGCCTCACAGGAGGAGCGGAGAGAGGCCCGCGCCTGGGTGCTGGTGCACTCTGGCACCAACTAGCGGCCGACCTCGGAGACGCCCTGCTGAGCCCCCACCAGACACTGCCCAGCGCTTGCTGAGCACCCAGCATCTGTGCAGAAGCCAAGGGCAAACCAAGGGGTGTCCAGCAGAAGGTGGAGGGTGAGGGCGAGGAGTCTGAAGGGACAGCAGGCTGTGTGACAGGAACAAGGTGCCTCCGACCAGCACTTCGGACAGTGGCAGGAGGAAGGACCGGCGGCAGGCTCTTCAAGCGTCCAGGACGGTGGGAGCTGGACGAAGGCGATAGCTGAGTGGAGAAGCCGGACGAGGAGCATGTGAGGGCTATTAGGGATGCAGAAGTGACAGAACCAGGTCACCAACCGGATGCCGGGAACGAGGAGAAGTGGCTGCACAGCATGCTGTGCACTGAGCGACGTACAGGCGAAGGCACAGCGGCCTCCCTGGAGAGCTCAGTGGACAGGAATGTGCAGGGCTGTTGCAGAGCCAACGGCTAGAAAGGAAAATATGCCACACTGCGCGTTAAGGGGGACACACAGGACTGCAGATGTCAGAATCTGTTAAGGAAATTCACAACAGCAAGAGACAAACCAGCAGCTGCCAGGGAGGTCCCAGCAGAAAGAGCCTGCGTCCACACACCCAGGACCGCACACCCAGAGGAGACAAGTGTCGGGACACGGAGACAGAATGACTGTGAGGCTACAGGAGCCCACACACGCCCCTCACCCACTCACACGCATCCCAGAGAAGGTGAACTCGGGGACAGAGGGCTCCGGGGCTCCAGGGCAGCCGGGGCTGGGCAAGAGGACGCTGTGGTGACGGAACGTCCCTCACGCTGACCACGTTTTAAATGAGTAAATTTTACTATATGCAAATTACATGTATAAAAAAAGGGTGTGCAAAAATAAAGCCACAGACTAGGAAAACATCTGCAGACCCTGGATCTGAAGAAGGACCTGCATTCAGAATACACAAGGAATTCTCAAAGTCTCAGCCAGAAAACAACTCACCAATCAATAAACAGGCAACAGATTTGTCAGAAATGAAAAGTTGCTCACTGTCATTGGGCACTGGGAAGGCAAACCAACCCCTGCTCCTGCACATCCGCTAAAAGAGCCGAAATCATACAAACTGACCACAGCAAGGGCTGTGGGAAGGGAGGAAACAAAGAGCTCCCCTGGCCAGCGGGCGCTGCCACTTGGAAAACGATTTGGCACCTTTTTTCTTTTTTAATTTTTTTAAAATTGATTTCAGAGGGGACGGGAGGGGGGGGGGAGAGAGAGAGAAACATCAATGATGAGAGGGAATCACTGATCGGCTGCCTCCTGCATGCCCCCTCCTGGGGACCAAGCCCACAACCTGGGCATTGAACCCAGGACCCCTCAGCCCGCAGGCTGACGCTCTATCCACTGAGCCAAACTGGCTGGGCCATTTGGCAGTTTCTTAACGTGAGGACCCCCATTCCCCTCCTGGCATCTAACCCAGAGAAGCGGGGGCTCGTCCAGACAGATGGGCACTTGGAGTCCCCACAGCTGCATCTGTGAGGCCCGACCGGAAGGAACACCCAGACACCCGTCCGAGGCAGGGCACACACCTCAGTGCCCAGAGGACGGAGGCCATCTCTCGTGCGCCCACGCCAGAGCCACGAGAGGAGCACAGCTCAGGCCAGGGTGGCCCGTGGCAGTGGCACAGGAACCTGGTGGCGATGGTGGGGACAGAGGCTGGCACACATACCCTCAGGCAGCTTCCTGTGCCATCGGCACTTTAAGAAGCTGCTGAAATGACCACCAGACAGGACTGGCCCCGGCCCCCCGGCCCAGGTGCTTCCATTCGGTGCAACTCGAGTGCGTGTGCTGAAAACCACCCTCCCCCGGGTCACCTGTCCACAGGCCGTCCGGCCACTCATCCGAGCCACAAGCCCCTCACCATCAGGGTGCGACACGGATCACCTGACCTTCCCCCGCCCACAGGCATCTTCTCCTCACAGATGTGCCCAGCTGCAAGTGACACCGGGGAAACCCCGGCACCTCGCTCTCGAAACCCCTCCAACCTGCTGACAGCACACCCGCCCTGTCCCCCGACTGTCCCGCACCAGGCAGGGCCCTGACCACTTCCTTGCTTCTAGTTACCAAAGTGCAGCCACCATCGCGCTTAACATGCAGATCTGACCATTAAACTGCGTCCCACAGCCTCAGGACAATCCAACTCCTCGCTTTGGCTCAAAAGTCCCACTCCCCAAGTGGCCCCCCAATACACACCGGGCTCCCTCTGCCACGCACCCCTTCCCTCACCCCACTCAGGCCGACGCCGAGAAGGTGGAGGCGGGTGAGAAGGATGCTAAAACCGAGACATGTTCAGTCACAGAGTCCTTCTGGGAAAGAGGCCTTTCCAAAAAGGTATGTCCATGCCAATTTCGGAGAAACGTCGTTTCTGCGAGGCTGGTGCAGCACGGTGTCAGGAACCTGTCCTCAGGATACGTGATGGTAATGACTTTAAAACGCAGGGCCCACTGCTCCCAATCCAGGGCAAGCGCATCGCACACCTACGCTCTCCTTCTCACGCTGCAGGTGGATGGACTAGGACACGGAGGCCATCTCCCAAACCTCGGCCACTAGGTAAAAGCGTTGCTGTAACTGCCGCAAACTGCGCTCAGGGACGTTCAATATTCATTTCTTGACCTGATTCCTCAAACACCTCTTCCTCACTGAGCTCGCAAACAGCCCAGACACAACTGCCACCTGGAGAACACTTGCGCTGAAGCAGAAAAAGCAACAGTCACTCCCAACCCAAGGTTTCATTCTGAGCTCAATACACGGGTGATGCCCAGGACAGCTGTCAGCAGCTCAGGGCACGGCCTGGCCTGCGGCCATTCCCCGTGAGACCAGCCTCAGCAGAAACAGCACTAATGAAACAGGACCCCGAGAGCAGAGTGCTCACGTCCAGTCAGCTCCCGAATTGTTAGCACGTTTTAGAAAGTGAGCCAGCTTCTCCCATAGCCCGCACCGCTCCCCGCCTCCCTCTGCCGCCGTTCCTGTGGCGTCAGCGGAAGGTCGCCCCACGCATTTCCTAAAGTCTCACATAAACGAACACATGGTGTGCACGCATCCAACCATGAGAAACGAGGCCTGATAACGGTTTCCAAGCCCACCTTCAACTTTTCACACGTAAGTTACAATTACATAATGACCTTCCAGGACGAAGGAAGAAAACGGCAGAAGCTGACTGTAGACATCTAGGCCAATGTTATATTTTGTGATAAATATTAAAAACTTACCTTATAACCAGGAAACAGTTAGATCTGTTACCGACAGCAAAATAGTCAGCAGTGGTCAAAATATCAATCCCATGAGGGAAAGTGCCCTGAGGAAAAGGAAGAGCAGGAAAAATGGTGAGCCATGTGCGCGTGAAGGCACCCCCACCAGCTCAGCACTGCACCCTATACATTTACATTCATGGACGAGGCGGCCAGACAGCCTGACAGCGAGGCTGCGGGTGCCTGAAGCTGCTCGTCCACAGGCTTCCCGTCAAGTCCAGTTACTGAGCATCTATCCCAGGCCAGACAGCTCTTAAAAATATTTAATTTTTTTTCAAATGACTCATGCATTTCAACTTTAAGTTGTTGTAGACCTTCCTGTAACCACACACCATGAAAAGACATCCAGTTTCAGCAGCGTTAACCCTACTGATTCACTGGACCTGTCCAGGCAGGGGGAACCCAGCCAGTGCTCCCCGGAGGGGCCCTGAGAACCCTGGACAGGAGCCACACCACAGCCTGTGAGAGAGGATGAGAGACACGGCTTGACAGCTGACACCCAGAAGCAGACTCTGAAAGGGGGAGACGGGCACCTCACCCATGAGGCTTGCCCAGCCCAGCCCCCAAGTCTGCGTGTTATTACTGAGAACACTCTCTGGTAACAGTATCTAAAAATCTGAAAACAAAACCGTCTTCTGAAAAGACTTAAATACTTGACAAACTTTCAACCACGGAGTGAAAGCCTTCTGGCCGTGGACCACGGGAGGAAGGTGAGAGGCCCAGCCCTGCCCTGCTCTCAGGGTCCCTCCTCACCCTGCGGCCGGCACAGCAAAGCGGGCAGGAGTCTGATGAGCAAGGCACAGAAAACAGCAAGCACCCAACCCTGCATCTGTGCCCCCGTGGGCACAGCACCCCAGGCGACAGGGAGGAGCAGGGCGCAGGGACGAGATGAGCAGTGGGGCTGCAGGATCGTCCCTGAGGATGACCTGTGCTCGGACGCCAGCTCCCGGCCGGTTACACAGGAGGAACTAAGCGTGGGGCTGGATCCCATATGTGACAAGGAACTCGGGGTCCCGGTACTGTTTGGAAACTCACTAACGGGATGTTTGATTCACAGGCAACATGTAAAAGCCTACGTGCCTCATGACCCAGCTACACGCAGAGCAGGAGACACCCGCCACCTGAGGGCAGCAGGACACCTGGCCTACGTGCACTGTCCTACCCTCTCCGGTTCACACACTGGCCCAGGGACGGCTGGAAAAAAGGCCACCGTGGCTCCCGAGGTGGGGCCTCCCCTGCAGGCAGCACTCAGACCTCTCCCAGCGCCTCTGTACTTTCCTCCATCCTGGCCCCAGACCATCCAGTCCCACTTCTGTGCAGCAACACTGGCGAAAACATCCCCGTCCAAACCGCTCTGGGCGGCCCAGGAGGCAGCTCCCCTGCACGGAGCGCAGGCCCGGGGCCAGGACTGCAGGCCCGTCTGCCACACGGTCCCTGACACGCAGGCCCGTCTGCCACACGGTCCCTGACACGCAGGCCTGTCTGCCACACGGTCCCTGACACGCAGGCCTGGCGGGCAATGCTCAGGTATTACCTCTTCCTCCTTGGAGCTCAGGCCCCACCTTGGAATTTTGTTTTGTCCACAGCGTCCCTCTCAGGTGCTGCCTCTCCCTCCTGAGCCTTCTGCACGGGGTTCCCCCAGCTCCCGCAGCCCGACTTCTGCCCAAGCCCCAAAGGCCCATCACTTGTTCCCCGGGACCGCCTGCCAATTCCTTCATGACACGCTCACCGTCAGCCCAGACCTGCCTCCTGGCACGTTCACCTCTCAACCCTTCCAACCAGAGCTCAGCTCAGTGTCTCCCACACATCGCCTGCCTCTGGCCCATTCTCCACCAGGCCCACCACGCGTCCCAGCCTGTCACCATCACCCTCAGCACAAATCGTTCAGGGACAAAGGCCACACCTCCCAGCCAGGGCTGACCAGTGAGGAGAGGCAGAGCTCGGGGGCACAATGATGCCAGCAAGCACCAAGAGGCGCCATGGGTCGATGCTTCCGGAAGCTGGCTCATGCCACACGCGGGACAGGCAGGGGTTGCATCGCTGTCCCGTGAGCCAGGCTCCTCTGCACACCCCCCCCGAGCACCCAGGGGCAATGGCAATGTCGGGCGGCCCTCAGCAATGCACGAGGCACTGATTTCTGACGTGTGCATGTGTATAAAATTACTTCTACATTCACTGCTAATTGTTTAAAACTTGTGTCAACACTCACCTGTGTCACCTTACCAGTGAGTCTGTGACCAGAACCGTGTTATGTATCAGTTTATTCTAGGCAAATGTGTTACCCAGGCCTAACAACGCAAGAGGATTCTCCGTTTGCAATTCTCAGTATTTCTGCCTCTGTATCTACAGGAAGTTGTAAGAATGAAGACTGAAGAAGCAGCCATACCTGTCTTCCCACATTCTCCTGGAAAGCAGCCTGAGGAACAGAAGAACAAACAGCAGTGAGTGAGCCTTGCACTTTGCTGAACATCAGGAGACAGACTCACAACAAATGACCCGTAGCTTTATTTCCCGAAAGAGTCCTCATTGGTGGCTGGTCCGAGGCTCTGGGACGGTTTGTCCTGCCTGTGTATCCTGGTGCTCTTTACAACCACAACTTAGCCCCAGCAGGCTGGGTTCAGTGGATAGAGCGTTGGCCTGCGGGCTGAAGGGTCCCGGGTTCCATTCCGGTCAGGGGCACATGCCCGGGTTGTGGGCTGGATCACCAGTGGGGGGTGTGCAAGAGGCAGCCGATCAGTGATTCTCTCTCATCATTGATGTTTCTCTCTCTCCCTCTCTCTTCCTTTCTGAAATCAATTAAAAATATTTTGAAAACCCACCCAATTTAATGTTTCAAGTTATAAAATCAGACAGGTGACCCTCTGGTGGCTAATGCTGGGCCTGAACCAATGCCTGAGTGAAGGCCCCAGATGTAAAAAATGGGGACAGAGACAAAGCAATTGGTTAAACAAAAGCCACATCCAGGGTTGGAAGGGTCAGAGCCTTCCACTGTGCCCACCATCTCTCGGCGCAGAGGGAAAGAGACCCCAGGAACCAGTGGCCTCAAGAACCACCCGGAGGCAGGGAGACCATCACACACAGAGCACGGATGTGAACACACACAGGCGCCAACACGGCCGGATGCATCCGTATCTGGGGAAGCAGCTTCGTGGAAAGAAATTTTATTCCCAGGAATCATGTCTCGACCCCATGTTTTCAACTGAGCTTCACACAGAGCTTGTGACTCTCGCTGCTTCAGCTCTGCATCCGCTGGGCACACAGGGTAACACCCATGTTCGTGCAAGACTTTCCTGGGAATTTGTTGAATTATGACTTTAACTTGAAATCATGGTTTCTATGGTTTTATTCCATCTCTTATCCAAGGTTCACAAAGATACCAGTGCCCTGACTGCCTCTTGGCCCACATTCCCTTCCTGCGGGTCTCCTGGTCTGACAGCCACACCGGCCGGGACCCCTAGCCCTGACTGCAGAGACGGGAGCCGTGAGCGTGGCTGCCCATGCCAGCCTCACACAGCAGCACCAGCAGGAGCCCGCACCGCAGGGAAAGGAACGAGAGGGGGAACTTACCGAGGCGGCCCTCCTGCAGTTCACGTTCCGGTCGAATACCGTGGCAATGACCAGCGCGCTGTGGGAAAGGGGCAAACGGCTGCTTAAAAGGAAACCTGCGGAGACTCAGATCCCATGACACCAACTGGGAACCCTGGCCTTTCATTTGCTTGTCCGTGACTCAGGCTCAACACAGCTGCCGCCACATGTGGGCCGAGGGTGGCTGACCCTGATTCGAATGAGAGCACCTGAGCGCAAGCAAAGTCCCCGGGAGCAGGCCGGCGGCACAGGCCTGGGGGCAGCCAAGGGAAGCAGGGTTCCCAGAAGGGGAGGGGGGGCGGGGAGGCGGGCATGGCCCACGGTGACACACAGAGAAAAGAAGCCTGCAGGAGCGCCGACCCACTCCCTCCTAGAAACAGCCGGACCAAGGGCAGAGATAGGGTCAGGTGTCACACAAGCCCTACAGACGGCACATCCGCCCGAGCCACACCGGGCTCCTAAGGCAGAAACCTTTCCAGCTCAGTGGGGCTTCATTTAAATCCCCCTCCTTAGGCCATCGCATGTCATCGTCATGGACTAACCAGGACTCAACTGACTGTAGCAACGACAGAGAACAACTGATTTAGGGCGGGCTTGCAAAGGGCTGTTTCCAAGCATGACTTGAAAATTTCAGGTGACAGAACTGTTCTGTTGGTACTGTGGTTTGGAACCCAACTTTATAAATCTGTCAAAACCCAAAGAACTGCACGTGACAAGAGTGACCTATCCGAACGTGAGGCCCGGGAGGGCCCTATGGACTGGAAAGGCCAAGGAACGCAGTGCCCAAGACTCGTCCCTGGTGCTGGCGGCACCTCCCCAGGGTGTGGTTAGCCACTGTGAAGCTACTGCACATGGAACTGCAGGCGTAGGAAACACCGCAGAGAACAAGGCCGTGTGGAGTGGGGCGAGTGGGACGTGAGGTATCCACGCGAACCCACGGCCTTCAAGGGTCCCCTCCTGGATGCAGATTCAAAAGGCGACTCTCCACTAGAGAAACGCAGACTCTGGGAAGTGGCTGGTTCCCGGGACGGGGCAAAGAAAAAAAGATAAGCCTGGAGCATCGGTCAGGCTAGGAACTAGGAAAATATTCTAAAAAATAAAAGTACAGGTGCTGGTGAGAGGACACACCCAGCAACCTGAAACAGATCCCAGCGGCCAGGGGTGGAGCAACTGAGCAACACAAGGAACAGCAGCACTAAATGAAAATCCCAGGATCCAAGAAGCGCCCGCGCCCACAGGACAAAGCGAGCGCCCGAGGGGAAAAAGGGGAAGAGACGCGCCACGACCACGGCGGCACCTGGCCCAGCAAGACCACCAATGGGCATGAAAATGGGTGAAGTTTATGGAGAAAGGGCACAGTCATTAGTCTTAAACATGTGTTACTTATAAAGGAAACAATACAGTAACTCTGCAGACCCACCTCAACAGGGATCAAGGCCAGCATCCCCCACGTAATTCTGGGACGTGCCCCGAATGTGGCCGAGCAGGCACACCACCAAGTACCGGCCGCAGTCTGGCCAACAGTGACACGGGGCTCTGTCCTCGGTTTTGCTGCGTGAGGGATTACCATCAGGGAAGCTGGCAAAGGGCTAATGGACTAATGTAACAATACCACTTTAAAAACACAGCTTTTGCCTGCCTGGTGTGGCCAAGAGGTCCTGGGTTCAATTCCCAGTCAGGGCACGTGCCTGGGTTACAGGCTTGATCCCCAATGGGGGCTGTGCAGGAGGCAGCCAATCGAGGCTTCTCTCTCATCGATGCTTCTATCTCCCTCTCTAAAAATCAATAAAAACATATTTAAAAAAAAAAAAACCACACAGCTTTTAACCACTATAGACTCTTAAGTTAATTCAACCAATCAACTGTGTATATACCCATGAATGTAACTGGTTTTTAATACTGTTTTGATTTGTACTAAGTTTAGAAAACTACTCTAATTTTACTTTGAGAGCAAAACTGGCTTACCTAGAAATACTGGTAATTTCAAATAAGAACAGGTATGGTCATCTTGGGTAAGTGAGTGTGAGCGCTGCTTGCTCCCTTGTCCACTGGGCGCCTCTCCAGTCCCCTCAGCCAGGGGGCCACGCGTGAGTCACACACTTTCGCCTCACGTTTCAGAGGGGAGGTGGAGAGCGACCCCGGGAGCCGCGCACACGTGTCTGCAGGGCTGGGCTGCCAGGGCTGGAACGCCTCTCAGGCGTCTTCGCCAGTTTGCTTTCGCTGCAGGGGTTCAGGCGATACTTCACCAGGATTTCCCAACAAGAGAAATGGTCTGTGTCAAACAGAAAGGGACTTTCTTTCTTGTCCGAGTCGGGGGAAGCTGCACGCCTCGACCTGCCTGCGTCCCAGGCACCTGGTTTTGATGAGCAGGTACAGCAAGGCGCATATCTCACCCCAAAGTCAATCTTCGTTAGTTTATGTAATGTTTTATAGAAATAAAAAGCAAAATACACTGTTGTTATCTTAAGTAACAGTAATCCATTAATTTCAAAGTTTAAAAAAAAATTAAATATCAAGCCAGCAATTATCTATCCACGTTGTTTGAAAGTTGCAAATCAAGTTAAAATGCCAGACCTGCCTATGGCCAAGTCAGTCTAAAAAAAGTAAAGCTCCCAGCACCAGACTTTCCAGGCATTGCTGTAGTCACAGCAGAGCCACAATGAAGGCCAAGGGCGCTGACCAGGTGAGGGGCACTCTGACCTGTAATCAGCACTGAACTTTTCTTGAAAAACAAAAGGGTTATCTTCCTTCAGGAAGCGGGCCAGGGCCCTGGAGAAGGTCGCAGTGAGAACAAGACATAGCTCTGAGCCACGCATGCCATTTCCTGATGTTTCAGGACAAGCTTGCCCTCGAGGAAGAGATCTGGGAGCCAATCTCCAGGCGCTGCTGCCCGGCTGCTCCTGGGAGCAGAGCTCTGCCCAGGACGGGGAGGGGCCTGCAGGCTGATGTCAACGGCTCAGTTTACAACAGAGTTTCAGGTGAGGAAATCGCTGGAAGGTGACAACCTGCCTGCTGGCAGGCAGCAGCTCATTTTTCTTTTTCTTCTTGCCAATTAGCTTCTGGATTGCTGGTGAGGAGGTATTTTCTAGATAAAGCACAACCATTCTGTACCATTTTAACTTCACGGGTTTCATTGTTCCTAAATTACTAGTGTAGTAGAGGCTTTCTTCAGGAAACCCTATTTACTTTTCCACAAAAAAAAAAAATTGTTCATCTCTTCACCTGTCTGTGTATAAGTTTCGGAAATACAGATTTTCAGCAGCAGCCCAAACTAATCCAAAACAATTAAATTTGCTTGAAAACTTTCTTTGTGACATTATAAAACAGCAAGCTCCTTAGAAAGTGGGCAGCTGAGCCCTGTACTTGCCCCGACCTTCCAGGGGTGTAAGGAGGTGGCCAGGCCTCTGACCTCTCACCGCATGGGCGCCTTTCAGACTAGTCAGTCTGACCTCTGACCTCTTGCCACGTCCAGTCCTGCTGCCTCGTTGTTACTGCTGTCCCCTGATTCTTTTGATCAGACATTCCCACTTCACTTACAGAATTACATTTTGATCTCTACTGTCAACTTTTGTAGGAAGAGTTTGTGAAAGTATAAAGATACCAACATTTTATCAGTGCCAGGACTAATGGGCTTAAAAGCTGACAATTAAAATGTGGCCACTTATTACACAGCAAAGGAGGCAGATCTCGAAAGACACACCCCAACCGATACTCCTGGGCAGGCAGGGAGGTGCGGGGCAGAGCATCCTCGGGGCTCACCTGGCACGGTGACTCACCCCAGCCCTCCCTCCGCACCCGCCCCACGCCTGCGTCCAGATGGACCAGGAAGAGCTAGAGCACAAGCTCCCTCAGAACCTGCCCAACTGGCCCAAAAGCCCGATGGGCGCGGCTCCCAGGGGCACATTCGCTGATCTGACCCTGGGACGGCACAGGGACTGGGACGAGGGGGCCTGTCAGGCAGAAACTCCATGCGCCTCTGGCGCCTGTGGGAACTGGGAGAAATGAGAAAGGCTGAGCAGGAGTCGGGGCGTCCCTGCCAGCAGGTGGCTCCCTGTGTGACGCTGTGCACACTCATTACTGGCGCCTGGGGCAAGCCCAGAAAGTCGAGGAAAGTAACCTCCCCTGAGATCAAAGTGCCCAAGTGCAACCAGAGGAGTTTCTGCAGAGGACGCCGGCCACTAGCTCAGCAAATGCTCTCTGGTCTCATGTGGAGTGAGGTGCTTAAATGAGTCCCAGCTCAGAACGGTGAGTGTTCTGAACACCCACATCCACACCCTCCCATCTCAGTCCAGACACAGCGGGGGGGAGGGGGGAGACATGGGGAGATTCTATGGGGTCCATTTGGAGGACCCTCAGGACCCCCAGAGGACAGGCCTGGCTCTACCCTCTTAGCTACAGCAGATCTGCAAAGTCACTTTCACTCTGACACGAGCAGCACGCTGACCGCCCACCTGCCCACACGGACCAGTCGGGGGCTCTTCAGTCCATTGCCACCATGTGCCATGCCCAGGAAGCGAAGCACCTGGCAGCTCAGTGGGCCCCAAATCTGTCTTTCCTTTTCTGGATAACAGAGGGTGGCCCTGGAGTACACTGTGCCAGCGCCTCAGCCTCCATGGCACTCGGGTCCCCTGCGGTGACACATGCTCCACTTCAGACCCTGTGGCTCGGCTGTGGCCCCTCAGGCTGCTGTGCAGGCCTCGCCCAGGCATGGGTCCAAGGTCCATGGGGCATGGATCCGCCCACGCTGAATCCAGAGAACTGAGCTAGCAACACTGATCTCACGCCCATGTCACGCTCAGGCCAGGCTGAGCACAGCAGCTCTTCAAACTGATTTTCACTGCACAGAGTCGCTGCTCAGATTAGCGCGGGGACTCGTTTCACCTCAGAAAGCAGAAACCACTTGCTTGTGGCTAAAAGAGCCTCTGATCCAAAAGCCAGGGACCAAGCGAGAGGACCTGTCTGTGCCACAGGCACCGTGGGGACGGGAGGGCGCGACATTCGCCAGTGTCACTGCTCTGCGTCATGACCGACACTCGTCCCTGCAGTGCGGTGGGTAAGCAGCTTTCACCCCAAGTAGAGAAGCGGGTACCTGACGGCCGCCCGCCCCGTGCCTAGTCCTCCCCCGGGTCCCCGAAGAGTGCAGCCTCACCGCATTCCACTTTCCTCGGCCAACCCTCAGCCTTCAGCCCTGATCAGCCAGAGGGTCTCAGGAGAACGATTCCTGCAAGCTGACCACTCGGACAAATGTCCAACTGAAAAGAAGTGCTGGGACTGTTCGCACTTTGAAATGGGAATGACCTCGGAGCCAGGTCCCTTCGGTGGTGTGTCCGTGTCTCACTCAGCACCTGCCAGCTGCCCCCTCTGGGCAGGTGTTCTCGGTGCAGTGGGCACGACCACAGTGCCCACCTGCCCACAGCACTGGACACCCAGGGCACCGTGCCAACCTGGAGGGGCCTGGCTGTCCTGCCGGCTGGAGAAAGCCCTCACTTGTGTTGCTTTCATTTCCTAGTTTCTGAAGTCACTTCCAAAGAGTGAGCAGCAGGACCCGGAGCAGCAGAAAGTGCCTTCCATGCAGCATGTTCACAACAGCACAGTCCCGTTCACAGAGCAGTCGGATCACAGAGCTGCTGGCCGAGGGGCAGCCTCCATCCTCAGGGACGAGTGAGGGACGAGGGGCAGGCAGCCTGGCCTCTGCCACGCTGGGCCTCCCTGGCTGCAGGCCAGTGGTCACCAGGACCAGGGCTTCCTAAGACCACTGCGCTATCACTCTGCCCTTCCCTCAAGGGAGGACGAGCGGAGGAATCAGACATCTTTACAACTTCCTGGAAGTTCCTCCAACTTTATCAGAATCCCCAGGCTGTTCTGCAGGCTTTGCTTTGATAGGAGCCAAGATCAAGAGATTCAGGCCAGAGGCACTTCCTGGGCAGTAAACAGGCCTGTGGTCCCTCCCCTGATCCCAGAAAAGGTGAGAGCAGGAGGAGGCTCTGAGCCATGTGAGGAGCTGAGGGGCCGCAGACCCTGGGCTCTTCTGCAGCTCACAGCTCGCTGCCAACCAGGTGCCACCGCCCTTCACCAGAGCACCTGGCTGGAGGGGCGAGGAGCAGGGTTCCCAGGGCAGTCAGGCCCTCGGGATCTCACACTCTCTCTGGGCCTCATGCACAGATCTTGGGGGGGGGGAGGGGGGTGGAATCTCCTAAGAACTGTGGGAGGATCATTCTGAAACCCGTTTCCTAGTCCAAGTCATCAGCCGAGTGTCACGCACCATGACTAACGCTGAGGCTGCCACCATGCTGGGCACCCTCCTCTGGCCACTTCATACACAACAACAAAAAAGGCCGGACATACTCAAGCCCAAAAATACAGTAACAAAGCAGAGTACAAAAATTAACTAAAAATCTCACTATACTGGGGACACATTTGTTTTGCATTTCCCCCCAAACAAAAATACAGCAGATCTGAAAGGCGGGACATGACAGCAGGGCACGCAGACGCCTCGGGGGCTCTGCTGGGGACGCACACCAAGAACCCAGGGCCACGCTGCCACAGCATCTGATGGGGCCACCAGCCTGCTGGTCTCAGTTCTCCAAGAAACCGGAGGAAATACATCTCCCTGCCTCCCAAAGCCAGGCTGCTTTCGTTCGGAAGGGGTGACCAGCCCCGCCCTCCCCAGCAGGGCTGCCGGCTGAAGGCTGCTCTCCCGGTTCCCGGCTCCCGAGGAACTCCTTCCGAGGTGAAGGCTGACCGCTGACATTCTGGCGGCAGAACACGCAAAGGCTCAGACGCCCAACCCACTGCTCAGCCTCCCGCCTGTCTCCTCCCGACTCTCCCAGACGCCCAGGCCCTCTGTGTGGGGACCTGCCGACCACAGGCCAGCCAGTCTCGAGAACATCCCTCCCCAACACAGCCTGCGCTGTTTACCCACGAGAAAGGGTCCTGAGCCGCTGCTTTGTGACAGGTCATCCGTGAAGACTTCTCAGCTCAGGAGCACCTGTGGGAGCTGCGCCATGCTGCCCGCTCCTCGAGCGCCACGGAGGGCGCGACCGAGGGCGAGAGCAGCGACAGCTCTGACCGCCACGACACTTCACAGGCTGTACCTTGAAATCCTGGCCACGAAGGGCTTCAGCTCCTGAGGCTCGTAGGCACGTGCGAAGGCCCAGCACACGTAGCAGGCAGCATCCCTGACGTTGTCACCCACACTGCAGGCGCCCCGCTTCTCCTCGTAGGTCAGCGCCTTCAGGATCACAGGAACCACTGGGCAGAGAAGACAGGCTGAATGGGACCAGGGAGGCAGCACGTGTGGTTTTAAAGAAATAGCGTCTATTGTGATCACACGACTGTCGGCCCCTCAGCACCAAACAGAGGCAGGCAGAACCAATATACGCAGTCCACCCCAAGGTCGTTCTGTGAAAGTGGTGGCCTCGTCAGAAAATAAACATGCAGAAGGAAAACAGAAGTCCACCAGCTCAAATCAGGTGAGCAAGTTTCTGAAAGTTGCCTAAAGCTCTGGCTGGTTTGGCTCAGTGGATAGAGCGTTCGATGGTGGACTGGAGGTCCCGGGTTCGATTCCGGTCAAGGGCACATGCTCGGGTTGTGGGCTCCATCCCAGTGGGGGGCGTGCAGGAGGCAGCCGGGGCCTGGGAGACTCAAAGGGAGAACTGCCGAGGGGGAGGGAAGACGGGCCGGCAATGCACTGGGGACCCCAGCCTTGGAGTCTTGTCATGGAAACCATAAAAGACACGTGGTTTATAATTCTGGCCCGAAGCCGTTACCTAATGAGCAACCCTGGGGGTGAGGAGAACCCCATACACAGGCATGTTAACTCTGCTCAGAGGGAGTCTATCACTGGGGAGTCTCAGAATCCAGAACTAAAATAATTAGGTAAATCCACCCACTGTGACTTCCATGCTTCCAGGTTAACTTTACGGACAATCTACATACTTTTAATTGTCTGAAATATCTGATGTTTACGATAATTTGAAATACATAACAGATTATCCTGGTTCTATTATAAAATCTAAACGAGTAATTTAACAGGTGATTTTTCATATAAAGATATGAATTTTAAGATGTGTGGTGAGGGTAATTAAATGTTTAATAGGGCTAAAATTTTTCAAGTATCTGGAAAGGTTTTGCTTATTAGACACATATAAATTAGTTAAAAATAAAATATCACATTCATATACTAGGTTTTAAAAGTATAAAGAAATGTAATTAACTTTATAAATGAACCAAACAATTTTAAAGCCTTTTAAAATAATTATAATTTTTAAGTGTAATAGAAAAAGCTTACGTGAACATTGTAATTTTTTTATTTTTTTTTTAGAACATTGTAATTTAAAAATCAAAGACAATGTTAAATTTTTTAAAAGTTACACTACATGGAATTTTCTGAAAGAACACAGGAAAGTCCCAATTTACTGACAGAAAACAGACAAGGACGCTGCCACAAACGGCACAGAGCAGCTGGCACCGGGGGTAGAAGAGTGAGAAGAGGAGATGTGGGTCCCAGGAGATGGAGATCGTGTCTGTGGCCAACCTGCTTCTGGTCAGCATCTGGCCCCGTGGCGCCGAAGGACAGACCAGGGAGGGAGGACACGCCCCACGCCCCCTCGGGATGTGAGCCACGGAGGGTGTCCTACCAGTGCATACAGCACAGCGCCCGTGTTCTGCAGCATCACACCCCCGGCCACAGTCGCCAGCAGGATGAGGGGCTGCAGGCTTCCCACCCAGGGGCCACCACAGAAGCCCGCCATGCAGCTCTCACACGTGACCTGTCGTGAGAGGGTGATGGTCCCAGCACAAGAGGCGAGCGAGACCGAGCACTGAACAAGAAAACAAAGGTGCAGCTCAACAGCCAATGCGCACGTCAGCACACATGTCCTCCCAAGCACCCTCGGCCGGCGCCCCCGAGCCTCTCGTTGTAGCAAGGCTCACACTGTGACTCCAGGCAGCCTGAGAAAGGCACCCCCAGTGTGAACTTAAGAAAACTAAAGTATCAACTATTCGTACATGTACCTATTATCACAGAAATTATCTTCCAGAAAAATGTATCTAAAAACAGTCTTAGGTAAAAAAAAAAAAAAAAAAAAAAATCAATGGAGACAAGGCAGGACTATGAATATTATACACAAGTAACTCTCCTGCCTTTCTATATCCAAAGATATTTGCTTCTATTTAAACAGCAACAAAAAGTGCCCTACCCGGTTTGGCTCAATGGATAGAGCGTCAGCCTTCGGACACAAGGGTCCGGGGTTTGATTCCGGTCAAGGGCATGTACCTTGGTTGTGGGCACATCCCCAGTTGGGAGTGTGCAGGAGGCAGCTGATCGATGCTTCTCTCTCATCGATGTTTCTGACTCTCTATCCCTCTCCCTTCCTCTCTGTAAAAAATCAATAAATAGCAACAAAAAAAGTGGATTTGATTCTGTATAGTTTACTTTATACACATGTGGCAATTATTTTTAATAAGATTGTAAAATGATCTCATAAATTTACTTTAAATTGCATTTAAAAAATGGTCTCCAAAATAAAAAGCTCAAAGACATCACATCCTCAATTACACCCACCTCAGCAGAGGGAGGAACTTGGGGCACGTGCTGCTCACAGGGTCAGCAGCGCCTCAGGCACCTGCAGCCAGAGGTCTGAGGGGGACAGGAGGCTGCAGGGCCTCCGGCCTTGGACGCCAAGGTCACCCAGCCTGGAGCTGGCCTTGCTGCAACTGCGTGTACTCAGGACCCCAAACACGGGCCCACGCTCTTACCAAGTTCGCATTTCCTCTACCCAACAACAGGACACCCCACTTGAGACGTGCTAAAGGCCCCTCAAATTCCACAACATCTGAAACCGAGGCTGTCGCCCCTCAACTCCCGCCTCAGCCAGAGGCCTCGCACAGCTCAGGATGCGCTCAACATGCCAAGGCCGCCCTCCTTGCTTCCCAGGTCCAGCCACGGCCTGCCCGGCCCACGGCAGCCGCTGAGGGCCCATCGCCCTCCCCCAGCTTCTCCCACCGGCCCTGCCGCTGCTGGACCACAGGGCTCTCAGCCTGGGTCTGCCCAACGCTCCTGCACAGCAGAGCAGGCTGCACAGCCAGCTCCTGCATCTCCCTCGGGAGTCCTCCCAGGACCCACACCAATTCCACGCTGGCCTCACATCTCTCTCGGCCATGACCAGGTGCGTGCTGCCTGCTACCCACACAGCACCCCAAGCCAGGCCCCCTCCCTGAGAGGAGCCGCCCAAGCTGACGAAGGCCTGCCTCCCCAGGCAGCACACGAGAAGCTGCGCTCTCCTTGCTGAAGGAACACCTATCGCTCCCTGGGACTGGCCATGTCCACCTTCTGAACATGAAGCTTACAATCCAGACTCCTGAAGAGGGGTAAATGCCAAAGCGGGCAAGAGGCCACAGCCACTGTAGATAAGTAGTTACATCTGGCTGGTGATTTTTAAACAACTGTCTCTATTTAAACTGGACCACATCTGTAATGCTTCAGCGTGGTCTTCGGTTGTTTTACTTGGAATGACTCCTAGATTTCTAGTGTTGCTCATCCTTACTTTCTGTGCTAATAGGATAGCCCTTCCATGGCCCGACGCGTGTCAAAACTAACAGGCTGTGGCACCTTTATGAGAAAAGCATAACATAAATGTGGTGTCGCTGCCACACCGGATTCCCTAAACCGTCACCTGAACACAGCCGCCGACAGCTCTGGGTAAGACCGGGCAGCGATTGCATAGCCGGAGGGAATTCTGGGTGCTGACTGCTGAGTCCCAATTTATCGGTCCGCCAGACAAAATCAATTTCAAAACAGACAACTATGAATGACAGCAGTCAGTACCTCGATGTCCACTTCGTGCAGACATCCCACCCAACGACACACTTAGGGATGCTCGGGGCCACCGGGCAGAAGGCCAGGTCCGTGTGGACAGGGCCCCACCCTCACCTGCTCACCACCGAGGTCCCTGAGCGGCTGGGGGAGCCACTGCCATCACACCCCCAGAGTCTGACCCTATTTGGGAAGCCCAAGTGTCTGATCCCAAGTCAAAGTGAGATCGTTTCCTAAGTGACGTTTTGTTGGCTGGGAAGGTCCGTCAGCAACGAAGACAGGACACAGATCGCGGACTTGTGTTCCACTAATGCACCACTGCCTCGATGCAGAGGCCTTCATAAGGTTTGATTGGCATTTATTTTTGGGAAAACTGACAGCCTAGTAAGTCCAACCATAGGTCCATCTGGCCCACTTCTCGGTCCCAAGTTGTGGGAAAAGATCAGTTGTGAGAGGGCTAGGAACTGTACACCTGACATGAGCCAGACCAGTGGGGAAGGGGGCTGTGCTTTCTGTGTAGCCAGGGAACCCCAACTTTGTCCCTGGCACCCAAACATGCCCCTGGATTGTGTCCTCGGGCAGCTGCCCAGCCCACTGACAATGTGAAGTTGCTGGACTTCTCTGTGTCCTCCCGCAGAACTGAGACAGAGAAATAAAGACCCCAGCCCGCCTGGCCACAGGAGCCTCACTGCCAGCACCACCCACACACCTGGCAGAGCCCCACCTGCCTTCATTCCATCCTCAGCACAGCCTTCCTCATCTATCCCAGTGGTCGGCAAACCGCGGCTCGCGAGACACATGCGGCTCTTTGGCCCCTTGAATGTGACTCTTCCACAAAATACCACGTGCGGGCGCGCACATACAGTGCGACTGAAACTTCGTGGCCCATGCGCAGAAGTCGGTTTTCAGCCTGGGCAAGTCTATTTTGAAGAAGTAGCGTTAGAAGAAGTGGGGGGTGTCAGTCGGTCGGGCGACGGGAGACGCGGCGCGGGGGCGGTACACTGTTTTGAGGTACGTTCACTGAGGTCGATCCTTTCCAACTCTCTCACTCACACTCGTCTATCTGAAACAAGTCTACAAGACGAGTGTGGACGGGAGAGTTGGAAGGGGTCGACCTCAGCAAACGTACCTCAATCAGATTGAGGACGTTTTTAGCAAAGGCCAGCTTAGGAGGACCCTAATGAAGTTAATCACAATGTACCTACCTAGATAGTTTAAGTTTAAAAGATTTGGCTCTCAAAAGAAATTTCAATCGTTGTCCTGTTGACATTTGGCTCTGCTGACTAATGGGTTTGCCGTCCACGGGTCTATCCTGGCACCGTCCTACTCAGGAACCTCTGATGGCCCCTCCGTAGCACCTGCAACATCGGGGACTGACACTCAAGTGCAGAGAAGAAGTGGCCACCAGCACTCCAGAGGCTGTGCGGCTGGACGGGGTCTGACAGGGAACCTG